GATTGATCCTTTCGCGATTTTTGGTTTTATGAAATTTTACTCCGAATAAGACTGAAATGGACTGATTTGTTTATTTAGTATTAGAATAGAGATAACCGTATTGTATTTGAAGTTCGGCCTACTTTAGATTTTGACTAGATACATTGAGTTATTTTTTAATATTATGTCTTTTATCTCTGGTAAACATGAGATAAACCAATGTGAACCATTTACCATGGTGCATGTACATGACAAATTCATTATACATCCGATATTAAGGTTACGAATACAAACAAGTAAAATAACAAAACTACGGAAAACGAAGGACAATTCAAATCGGAAAGACCCTTACCAAATGACAAAATCAAAAACTCAAACACGTCGAAAGAATGGAAAACAACTGTCATATACTTGACTTGGTACAGGCATTTTCTTATGTAGAAAATGGTGGTTTAAACCTGGTTTTATAGCTAGTTAACCCTCTCAATTGAATGACAGTCGCTTTCTATGGAGTTTCATTCTGGAAAGTAGATGTTGTAAATCAATGCTCTGTTGTTATATTTTATTTAGCGCGAAAAATTTCAAAATAGGTGTTGAAAGGTTTCTAGAAAACAATAAGTCGCATTTTGAAATCGTTTTAACTAATCCCGAATGCTCGGCCATTGTTCAAAATCTTAATTAAAGATACAATATTAAATGTTGAATTTGCAGTATGCGTTTTTGTGCAGGTATATTGACATTTTACGAACGTTAAGTTAAATAAATGACAACTAATCATTTCCATAAATATAATGTATAATATATTTACTAATTTCTTACCTTTACAAGGATCTGTAAACCTTATCATTCTTGTCATTGACACAGTGACAATCAATGTGTTGATACTGTATTTCTGCTGTATTATACTTTTTGCATTTTTTGTTTTATATCTATCAATATCATAGTAAAAATGTATAACAAAAATTTCAAATAAAAGGCAAATTAGACAAATTAAAAAAAAAAATCAAAACAAAAATCAAATGCGAGACTTTATCAACAAACAGAATGAATGGAAAACAACCGTCTCATAACTGGGTACAGACATTTTTCGAAAAAAAGATGGTGGATTAAACCTGACTTTACAGCTATCTAAACCTAGGTTTTATATGCCAAACGTGTTTAGGTCCATGTTATTGACAAAATTGGATGAGCAACCCAAACAGATATATTATGTTACTATGACAATAGTTCCAGAACAGCAAACACAACTGTATAAACATACATTACATTACTGTATCATCTGATTTTCATATCAGACGGAGTTCCTGCAGACACTTGTCAAAAACAAGAAGACCAAAGAAGCCAGATCATTTAATTTCACATTCAGATATATTGATGATGTTCTTTCCATTAACAATCCAAACTTTTCTGATTGGGTTCTATTAATATATCCTCCAGAACTGGAAATTAAAAAAACAACAGACACGACTTCCTCTGCATCATTTTAAGACTTATATATAGATATAAGAAGACGTGGTATGAGTGCCAATGAGTCAACTCTCCATCCAAGTCACAATTTGTAAAAGTTAACCATTACAGGTCAAAGTACGGCCTTCAACACGGATCCTTAGCTCACACCGAACAGCAAGCTATAAAGGGCCCCAAAAATGACTAGTGTATAACCATTCAACCAGGTAAACGAACGGTCTAATCTATATAACAAACGAACAAATTAGAAACACTTATGAGCCACATCAACAAACAACAACCACTGAACATCAGGTTCCTGACTTATGACAGGTGCAAACAAATGCAGCGAATTTGACATCAGCTGTCATCTCAGTACCAGAATCTATGACAAACGAGACGATTTTAATTTTGAAATTATCAATTTCACCCACCTTAGTAGAAATATCCCAAATTCACCTGCATATGGGGTATACATTTCCCAACTCATTCGGTATTCAAGAGCTTGCAGCTGCAACTCAGACTTTTTAAAAAAGAAAGTTGATGCACCAGGGTTATATCAAAGAACGTCTCATCCTTTTTCTAAAAAAGTTCATCGGAAGATACCAAGACCTTGTTAATAAATATTCCGTATCAACTTCACTTATAATACACGATGGTCTTGAAGTATAGATTCTTGGCACTGACGTTGTTTATCATGTTGATTACGTGTTATAGTGTTCTTTCATATGTCTGTGTAAATTATTACTTTTACTGTTTAGTCTATTTTAGGTGATGTCCATTATGATACTTATACATCCCGTCATTGTATTATTGTGCTATGGTAAATTTTAGTGTTCTAGTCTTTTGTTTTGTTTTTACTTATTATGTCTGTTTGGTTTGTTCACACATTGTTGTCAATATAATCGAACTTTAAATGATTGTCATACAAGTGAGATGTTTAGCTAGCTATAAAATCAGGTTTAATTCACAATGTTCTACATAAGAAAATGTCTGTACCAAGTCAGGAATAAGACAGTAGTTATCCTATCGTTTGATGTATTTGAGCTTTTGATTTTGCCATTTGACTATGGACTTCCCGTTTTGAATTTTTCCTCGAAGTTCGGTATTTCTGTTTATTTTACTTTTTACAGACAAACAACACAACTGACTAAAAGAATCAGACAAACTTGCAAATAAATCTAACAAATACACAAATAAAATGTTTTTGAAGTTGATAGTATTTGACAAAGACAACCTTGTATATGAATTGTTCGAACTCGATATGTGTACATTCTTTGGGAGAGTGCTTCACATTTTTGATGAGTTCCATAGTGTAACACAATACAAGTCATGGTACAAACTTTTAACATCAAATATAAGAATGACGGTTGCAGATAATTTAATTGTTTGGACATTCCGACAAAACCGTGCAATCAAGTCTATGATATTAAATCAGACAGTATATGTTCAAGAAGGCCAGCATGGTATACATCTTCCGCATCTGCAATGCATGTTTATACAGACTGTCAAAATGTTTTTTTTTCGTGTATAACAAATTTGTAGATGCCCTGATTATGCCAATGAATACAATAGGTTGGTCCGGTAATAATTGCCCTCGCGGATTGGAGAAACTTGGACTGCCTTTTGAAAAGAGGGTATCATCATTTCTATGTTGCAATTAATGTCTTTGGTGTGGTCATAATTATCAATTAACTAACTGCAGAACTTTGAACCTTTGTAAATTTATTTTGATCATTGTCATTTTATTTATTGAAGTTAATTTCTTCTGTTAAAGAGAGGCTAGGGATAGCAAAGGGACATTGAAACTCATTAGTCGAACTATTAACTATTCTAGCATCGGACTCGAACTTCTTTTGAACTGAGTTTTACTGTGCGTATTGCTCTGTGTTTGTTAGTTACACATATGCTAGAGGTATAGGAAGGGTGGATTTCTGGACAATGGAAGTGAAATTTAGTTAAACTTGATATACAACCAAAACGAGAAATTGTCGTTGCAATAAGTATAACAGATATACGGGCAAACAGTCAGTATACAGATACGATAATTCCTGTTTTTTGAAACGACCTCTTTCATTTTTCACTCCTTTAACTGTCGTGCTTTGACTTTAGACTTTCTACATGCCATTTTGTTTTTCTTTGTTGACTTAGTTGTTTGTTTTTATAGTGATTAAGATTATAACACAATGATGACTGCTGTTCCTACTTTTTTGACATTTTTAACTATCATGTATATATATCTCTCCACAAGAGACCAAAATGACACAGAAATTACCAACTATAGGTCACTGTACGGTCTTCAAAAATGAGCAAAGTCCATACCGCATAGTCAGGTATAAAAGACCCCGAAATGACAAATGTAAAACAATTCAAACGAGAAAACTAATGGTCTAATTTATGTACAAAATAATGAACGAAAAACAAATACGTTATACAGCAACAAACGACAACAACTGAATTACATGCTCGTGACTAGGGATAGGCACCCATACTGAATGTGGAGGGGGCAAACTCGTTTAAAGGGCGCCAACCCTCCCCTGAACCTGTGACAGTGGTGTATCAGTACAACATAAGAAGAAACTATAAAAATCAGTTAAAAAAGGCTTTACTCTTTAGATGGATACAAATAAAATACATCTTACAAAAACATAGAGAGGACGTGGACGGGTACTTATACATCCCCACAAAAAAAAAAGACACTGAATACAAATCTGAGAGTACTCGCAGTTACTGACAGCTAGTTCAAAGCCAATAACACCTAATAAAAAAAATCCCGCATCTGTTTGTTTTGCTCACATATTGTTGTCAATATAATGGAATTAAATAAGACTGTCATACAATTGAGTAGATTAGCTAGTAATAAAAACAGGTTTAATCCACCATTTTCTACATAAGAAAATGCCTGCAACAAGTCAGGAATATGACAGTTGTTTTCAAGTCGTTAGATGTGTATGAGCTTTTGATTGTGCATTTGATAAAGGATTTTCCATTTTGAATTTTCCTTGGAGTTCAGTATATTTGTTACTTTATTTCCTCGAAGAAGCACGTTGTCTAAAAAAATGAAATAAAATAATTATGACCCTTCGAACTTTTTGTAATACTCAGTTAAACAATACAACGGAGTTTTAGTTAAAATTCATATACAACTAAAACAAGAAAATATCATTGTAATAAGTATTACAGACATACGGACGAACCTTTTTTCAAGCCGATATTCATACACGATAATTACTATTTTTGAGACGACCTCTTACATTTTACGATCTTTGACCTGTCGGTGTCGTTGTAAACTGTACATGTAGGTGTGGACAGTTGTTGAAAAGGTATAATACAGACTATAAGAACATGTAAATTGAGACGGTGATTGTTAACTGATAGTTAATACTAGCATAAGTAAGCTGATTGATAAGTTATTAAACAATAATTTGTAAATAAGAACAAAATGCAAAAAAATTACCCGAGATTACCTAATGTCATCATGTCTGTTTAGTTGAATTGATTCTTAAACAATAATTAAATGTGTTTTGTATGAAAACATTTAATGATATTTTAATCGATGATAAACTGCAGAAAAGTATTGAACTGATATGTTAACACAAAGCAGGAAATAGTTTTATCTCAACAGATATGATTTTATAGTCCATATAATGGAGGACAGCGAACTTGAGGTATTGTCTATTTGTATATGTAGTAAACGTTTCGTTCATGGTGTTTATAAGTATTTATAAATATTTTTTTAGCCTCGAATCGGAGAGTAGATAAAATATATATTTGAATATCACGTGTTTATGCATTCTAAATAAAAAAAAAAGATAAATATTAGTCTACAGTGCTACTAATACAGACTACCTTTCTTTCACAGGTAACACCTGTCTCATATTACATGTACATGTATGTTACTGTAAGAAAGATCAATGTGCTATCGGATTGTACATAAAGTGCATAGATATTATATGATTCGCACGTCAGGTGATGTACGGATAGCAGAAGACTCTTACCCTGTCGACACACATGTACAAGTCTTGATCCGCCTTTTCAGTTCATTCGATCCCCCAGTATTTTTTGTTACCTATATTTGTATCTTTTTAATCGATTTATAAGATCTGAACACCGATCAACTACTGACGAATAAATTTACAGATATTTGATAAAATGTTTCAACATAAAAGACAAGTAACTATAATTTTAGGCGTTGAATACTTTCACTGACCATTGAGTATTTTATTTGTATTCAACGTAGGGTTCGTTTGATCATAGTTCTTCATTGGTCAAAATTAAATTATGACTTTATTATTGCCGTCATATTGCAAAATACACATTTTTCCAGATGATTGAGAGAGGAAGAAAACTTATGCCTACGTATCGTCTGAAAAACTTTACGGAAACAGATTCCGCTACCGAATCTCGTACAAAGCCATATTTCTCCGCTTTCGACCCTTCAAATTTAAATATTAAAACAATCGTCAAGCCTCACGATTAAGGTTAACGAATTAAATGTCTCGAGTAGAGAAATATCGTATCACTTTCGATGCAATGGCAGTATATATATTTTATCCGTCCAAGCAAAATGTTTTAGAAGATATGTGATCCCTTTTGTATTTAAAGTGTTCTATTAATTAATATTTGTGCATTTTGTAAACAATCTAATTGTTTTGAATAGAAATGTGATCTATTTTGTGCCCTTACATTTTAGTAATTCTATTTTGATAGAAAAAAAATTTTTCTGGTGAGACATAGGCAACATGTGCTGGCAACAACTTTAGGCAGTACATGTTATCAATCTTTAACACTGGCAAATGTTAGTGAATACTTAATACTTGTCATTTGTCCCGTACCCAAGAAGCCGGTGCGTTGATACTAATATGATTTAAATATTTTTGTTCGTAAGTTTTACAAAACAATGCAATACATTTTATTATATTTGACTAAAGGTAACGTTTCATGTACGTCTACCTCTTGCAAAACTGGCATTGGATGGTTTCTGCCTTAATAATTTTTCCATCGCAAATACAATATAGAAACCCACATAAATTGTACACACCTTTTGTAGTATGTACAAAATATGTCCCTGTAAGAAGAAGCATACGTTTCTTTGGAAACTTCTTTAAACCCTTGAACACATTATCATTTTATTGACTCTCAATAAAATCTACTTCATTTAGTTACGTATGCTACCTCATAACTTTAATATTAATGATTACACCTCGTATTGACAGATAAAGGAACGCGGGTTGTTGATTTCTGTCCATAAATCATCTGAGTGTTATATAGTTAAATGACAACACAGTCCGGATTTAAATGATCATATGAGTGTTTTATAGGGAAGCGAAACGAATCAATTCTACGACTAACGGTAATAAAACTTTCGAGTACGATTATCGCACTCTAACTTAAACATGTTAAAGTCAACTTACCAAAATATAAAATTTTGGGTTTTTGACACAAATTTGCACTCCGACTATTGAGTAAAGTTTTATGACCGAAAGACCAGGTTATGATGATCATTCACCACACTTGAGTCTTCAAACTAAAAACCGGTTATCGTGCAAACACATTTTGATGGAAATTTAAGAGTTTTGATTTTGAACCCTATACTCATCGCAATAATTTGAACTGAAAATTCGATGCGAGACCTATAGCCAAATGTCTGAGAGATATGAACTTAAAAGCATTTTTGTATTTTACTTGAAAAAAAAATTAACAAAGGGCCGAGGTTTTGAATACGATATAGCACGTTTCTATTGACACTAGAAAGTTTTACGTACAACCAGATATTCTATAAAGTAAAGTTCGCGGCTAATATATTGCATATCAACCCAATATGCAACTAAAGAGGGACCATTGACGTTTAAATCTTTTGGATTTCTAAATGTTATACAGTTGACATTCGCGTATATCTGTGGATATACGTAATTTTGATAACCATGGGAGAATTTCCCCTCATAATATTTTACTTTAATAGTTTAAGTTTATCCACTTTCTAGATTATCGGTTGACATATTGTTTAGACACTCATCATTTGTTAAGGAGCGTATATTTAATATAGGTTCGTTAAATGGCTTGCGTCGTTCGGCTATCTTGCATAAATGTATTCATGTATTCTTTTCGTCGACTCTATTTATCTTTTTTTTATAATATCGATGATTTTACCAATTGTGCGACCTTCAAATATTTGAAAGTTAACATTTTCGAGTACTCTTCTGTACCGCAAAATTGAGCATTGTGTTTGAGAATTCAGCAAAATACTAACAGTTCACGTAATCATGTTTATATAGATAAAAAGGTTGCAGGAGCTGTTCAGAGGACGATTTACGTTTGAAGAAGCACATTCACTAATTAATCATCACCATGGAGACTGCCAGGCAGCTGCTAATTTTGTTTTTGATGGTAAATACTAATCTGTCAGTCTTTTTATATTACAATTAATATCTAAGACTTACATGAGTTTTTTTTAATAATTTCATTGGTTTTAAACCGTTGAACGAATTACGTATGGAGCGCTTCCACTTATAATATGCACACGATCACCGTTTTTCCAACACTAATCGAGAAACATTGAATTCATATAAAAATATTTTTATTTTCTGCTATAACCGTGAGATTATAATTCCAAATAAAACCATTCGTTTATTTTCCAATGCATTGTTGTAAGTTTGTCATGTGGAGCACGCGCGTGCAGTCATGAATGTTAAATTTCATTGAGAAATAGACTTTAAACTCTTGAATGCCTTACACATGTTACAGTTGTTGTCTGTTAATCAAAATTACTAATTCATGTAAAGTAATATTGTATTGCATTAGACATGTTTAATCATAAAATAGTACAGAATCAGCAATCTACTGTTACTTGAAATATAAATTCGTCTTTTTTTTTAACTGTCAATTTTACAACATACAAAGGAAAACGCACACATGAGTGAGAGAGGTGATTCGGAGATGTTGGTGAACGCTCACAAATATGTTTGACCGCACAACATGCTTTTTGTACCTTCGAAAGACAGGAACTGGTACATGTTACTAAGTGTGTTTCGTTGGTTGCTGTATGCTATTTTATTTTTATCGTTTATTCTTTAAGCAGAAATCAGGCCGTTGGTTTCTCGTTTGTGTTGCTTCAAATTTCGTCATGCCGGGGCCTTTTATACATAACTGACTATACGGTATGGGTCTAGCTCGTCGTTGAATTTTGGACAGTGAACGATAATTGAAAACATCCACGTTATTTGGTAACTGATGAGTAGTTGTCTAAATGGCAATCTTGTCACATCTCCTGACATTTCTCATTTATTGCTAGCTATATATCATTGAACAAGTATTGCATGGTTATTCAAGTCAACAAGTCAGTAACATAAGCTGATGAGGTAAAGCTCTAAAAGGTGATGATAGTCGATACATTATTATTTTTTCCTAACACATGATGCCATGTTTGGTAGTGCTAACGTAATGAGAGCTTAGCACCTGATCGAAAGAGGAAATCGTGTTTAACTACCCTATATCTACTGCCCAATCGAATCATCAAACAATTTTATGAACAAAATGTTTGTTTAAAAAACAATTTCATTATTACATTTTTATTTCTTGTTGCAGTAACGTTTTTCTTATGCGTAATGTTTTGAATATTCTCCTGTCATAAGACTTGTATTTCAGAGGAGCCTGAGACAGTCAGAGATGTTATTGGGACAGAAAACCAAACGGTACGTTTAGCTGAATATATATTTGAAAGTATTTAATTATATGTGTTAATGGAAAGTGTTATGATAATTCTTTTTTGAATTTCAATTAATGAGAACAAAAATTATATTTTAGAAAGTTTTATATTATTATATAAAGTGACATTTCGATTAAAAATATGGTGAATGATATATGAACTAAGGCTATTTTCTCTTTTTTGACAGATTTTGACTCATATCTAAAAAATTATGCTAATCTGTCATAAATCAAAAAGGACTAGTTTTGGCATTTTTTGGAGATTGCACGAAATTGACAAAGTTTGAAGCCATACAGTAAACATGTAAGACACAATTTTAAAAAACATCATATATACTAATAAATGACAGTCTAATAACGGAAAAAGTTTCTTATAGTTTTTTAAACAAGCTTTATGTTATTGAAATACAACAGTTTTTCTTAAATATATTAATATTTTATTGCAGTGGCAAGTTATAAAAAATAATCAAATATGGAAAGACTTAATACGACAAGGAACTATTCCAAAACAAGAGAGACAGTTTGCATGCATTACGTGTGACAATGTCTGGTGGAGAAAAGTTCCTAACCGCAAGCTGGTAAAGTTTTATTTCATTCGAGGTTTTAGAAAAATAAAGGACGTTACTTAATATGCTCTGAGAGTATATTGTCATTATTTAACGGCCGTGTTATGTTTGACTTCAAGTAGTGACAAATATTGAACAATCTCGTTTGACTTCTGAAAGAAACAGAACATCGTATTTTATTGTTGTTTGCGTTTAGAGTGGTATTCTGTGAACAGGCAAGTGTTAGCTGATTCCCCTTCTATTTGTTCGAGCTTCTCCAGTTTTACTAGTTTAATCGTTTAATAGGGGTGACCTGTATATCAGGTTTAACTTATATAACACATACAAAAATTAAAACAAACAAAATAACAAACAACTCTTGTTATGAACAAAACATGTTATACTAGACTACAAAATAAACAAATAATGCAGGTATCAATACTTAAACAGGTATCGAGGTGTGTGCGATGTTACATACGATACGAAGCAGTACCGACAGAATACGAATGGGGAAGAGCGGAATTTCATTGTCAACTTTGTGGAAATGTCTTCAGGTATGTATAGTATTCAACAAGACGAATAACAAAGTGTTAATAAATTTCAGATATATACAACATGTAGAAGTATATTGTATATCAACTAAGCATAATTCAAAAAGCAAAGCAGATATATTTCACAGTCAAATGTAACAGCCTATTTATTCACCTTTCGTAGAGTTGCTTTTCTTACTTTATCAAAATCAAACGGTTTACTCAAAAACGGAAATATTGAAAAGAACTGCACATATGCTTGCTTTTTTCAACGCATTTGATTATAGTTTGGAATTCGTTACCTTTGACCCTATCGATGCTAATCTATTATAACAGTTTTGGTGTTATAGCTGATCTGTTCTCTGATAGGAAGAAAATGTCATTGTCAATATTCGAGAATACGTTTGTTAATATTTTGTCATGTACAGCAAGTGATAGTGTTTAATATATATATATTATCTTTGATTAATACTATTTTATAACAATTGTACAATTAAATGTATTCTTCATACTTCATTACTACAATAGAAAATATTTACTAGTAGAACAGTACGAATTTCAAAAGAAATTAGTCTAGAACTCATCAATCCATGATGTTTTACACTAGTAATTTTTGGGGCCATTTATAGCTTGCTGTTCGGTGTGAGCCAATGCTCCGTGTTGAAGGCCGTACTGTGACCTATAATGGTTTACTTTTATAAATTGTGACTTGGATGGAGAGTTGTCTCATTGGCACTCATACCACATCTTCTTATATCTATGTATTTTTTTTTTGAGTTTGAGAGAACCTAAACAAATCAAACCACGCATACAAAATATACACACGGTACATAAAGTAGATTTACGGATAGAAAATCTTACATTTAAAGATTAAACATAATGAAGGTATTGAACAAAAGTAAAATAACTAAAATACCGAACTCCAAGGAAAATTCAAGTCGGAAAGTACCTTATCAAATGGCAAAATCAAAAGCTCAAACACATCAAACGAATGGAAACCAACTGTCAATATCCTGACTTGGTACAGGCATTTCCTTATGTAGAAAATGGTGGATTAACCCCGGTTGTATAGCTAGCTAAACCTCTCACTTGTATGACAGTCGCATATAATTCCATTATATTGACAATACTGTCTAACAAAACAAACAGACATACTAGGGAAAATGTCAAACATTGGGGGGTACAGCAGTCAATATTGTCTTATGATCTTAATCACCATAAAAACACACAAATATGTCGACAAAGAAAAAGAAAATGGCACATAGACACTCTATAGGAAAAGACAAAGCACATACTAAAAAATGAAAGACAAGAATACAAAAAATAAATGACCAAAAAATGTTCATTATACCCAATACGAAATTAATTGCAGGTTTTAAGTTAGTCGTTCATCAATCATTTATCCTTATTAATACTTACACATGTTAATCTTGGTGGTATACCTTGTTTATAAATCTGCAATTGAAGCATAGCATGCTTATGATTTTGTTATAAAGATTTATCCATCATTTCAAATAAAAATCGATATATTTATATTTATGGGTACAAAATGTTATACTTTCAATAAAGAGTGTGAAATATATGTTTATATTCTTTCGTCCAAAGGTAATACAGCTTATAGGTATCAAGTGCAATGAATATTATATTAAATATAGTAAGCATCACATAGTACAATATAGTTATTCATGTTTACAATTGAAAACCAATCTGGGAGCAAGGTATTAGATAATACAATTTAATACAATCTGGGATTATATAGCCTTTTATAGCCGACTATACGGTATGGGTTTTTCGCATTGTTGAAGGCCGTACGGTTGCCTATAATTGCTTATATCCACTATATTTGAAGTTTGATGGAAAGTTGTTTAATTGGCAATCATACCTTATCTCCTTATTTTTAAAGAGGAGCATGATATACACATTCAACAATTTTTGTCGGCATACATACACATTTCCAATATTAATAAGTTTTTTTTTATATATAACGAACCGATAAAAATTTCATAAGTTTAAATCCCGACGGATTTCTCCAGTTATATAGTTCCATAAAATTCATTCGAATATCTTTATGTATAATGCTTTCGACAATGAAATGATGTTCATCTTCAATAGAATATTACATATTTTAGCGTTTCCGTAGATATTTAAAAACCAGTTTCAATATATAGATTATTTTCTCGCTGAGTTGAAGACCCATTGGTGGCCTGTTTTATGATCTTTGGTCGGATTGTTTTCTCTTTGAATCATTCACCATTTCCATTCTCAATTTTATTTGCATGTAAAGGATCCTTTCCTAAAAATGGTTCATATCTAAAATTAACAGGTATACTTAGATAAAACGGTAAACCATGACTGTCATACAATTATATTTTTGTAAAACTGACCTTAAAAGAAACCCCTAGAAATGACATTGTATTGGTTATAAATCTATCAGTTACACGCTGTTTGAATCCAGCTATAAGCCATTTTCATTTAAAAAAAATGTTTGTCAACCATACATTACTTAAGCCATAATAACATAATAAATCTCTTGTTTTACACGACCAAATCAATTTATTTTTACTTTTAACATATCTAGCCGCCAGCACTTTCTTGAATATAATTGTTATTTGTTAACAATTTACACCAACTTCATCAATTTACAATACACCCATACATGCAATGGAGCTCTACATATTTCAAAATACATCATGTAATCTGTAGTACTATTTTCATTTTGAAAATTCACTTTAAAAATAAAAATGAAGAGTCTAAATGTAACAATCTCAGAAAAATTTCCTTCATTTTTAACACGTGATTTAAAGTTTGAATGCATTGATATTATTAGATTAAAGGGGCACTAGCTGTCAAATCCATGTTCACCGATTTTGCTCAAATTCTCATATTTGATTTATAACATACTAAAACGTATATCCAAATTACAATAAGTCTGAAATAAGCAGTTAACAATGCATGTACACGATAATATATATTAGAATTTCGTGTGTATTTTGGTTTAGACGCCATCTAATTAACTATCAAGATGACCTCCGAATACTGCCGATGGTCACATAACACGATATAAACATAAACATAAATATAAATAGCCTACCGACCTCTTGCATTTGGATTTTTATAGGTCTGTTTGATTTCATTTTATAGGTAAAAAAATAAGTTGATTAACGTTTTTACCTGTATCAGAATGATTTTTTTGTCAGTCGAATCAATCAACGAAATGATTCACCTTTGTTTCACTTTCAATGTTGACATTCTTTTCCTTCTAATGGCTGAACACGACTTATGCATGCGTAAACAATCTCTATCTAATGGGTTAAATTGAAGGTCACATGAATACGGATATAATTGGGTCGCATTATTCACTTGCAAGTTAATAATTCATCACCAATATTTCTTTGCTAATTTTGACAAAATTGAACCAAATTGTCTGCTAAAAACGAATTATTATTTCATTATATTTCACTTTTATTAATGATTGATCCAAACGAAATCATATTCTAATTTTTTCATATTTCGTAGCTAGTGCCCCTTTAAACAGTTTTCAGTTATATAAAAATAAGAAGATGTGGTAAGATTGCCAATGAGACAACTCTCCACCAGAGACCAAATGACATAGAAGCTAATAACTATAAGTCACCGTACGGTCTTCAACAATGAACAAAACCCATACCCCATAGTCAGCTATAAAAGGCCCTGAAAAAACAAATGTAAAATAATTCAAAAGAGAATACTAACTGCCTGAATTATGTACAAAACAATGAATGAACACAAATATGATATATAGCAACAATCGACAACATTGAATTACTGGTTCATGCATACCACATTTAACTAATTTGATCCATAACTTAGCATGCATAACATTTTAAAACGCAATTTTTATAATCAATTAACCCACAATTTAAAATATAAAAGGTAGTCATACTGGCATGCTTTCAATACTATGTTTGTTAACTATTTAGTCCATTCCTATTCTATTTTATCTAAGTTCAGTTTCAGTCTATTCTCCTCGGAGTGATTACTGTTAAACTTCATTAAGGCATGCTAGTAGTTCTTATACAGTATCTTACAATTGATCGTTATCCATAGTTTGTCTTTTTTAAAGTTCTGATTTTTTCCGTGTAATTATCACAAAGTATCGTTTGTTCTACTTCTTTGTGTGTATTGTTTTTGAAAAATATCAGTCAAAATACATTTATTTTATTCACAGTGTTATTAATAGAATTGTCATTTTCTGTAATACTTTGGTATAGTTCTTCCAACTTATGTTCTTAATATATTAAATCTTCAGTCACTTTATCCCTGAACTCTTCGTTCCATTGTAACGTATCATACTTTAATAGGGAGTCTCGAAATATATATAGCTAATTTCATTACCTGTCAAAAGGTGTGATATAGATTATATCCCTTCGGCGTCCGTCTGTTTCATGCACCGAAAGGATTTGCGTCTCCAATTGTAAAATTATGCTTGTATAGTTATCATTGACATTTCTTCCCTGTTTTATATCCGTTTCTGTGCCATTGTTATGTTTTACATTGCATATATTTTATGTTATCTTAATTTCACAGGCACTATGGTGTCTGAGAAAAAATACTCCACATACCTTTTCAGGTTAATGGTTTAGTTTGTTTTTGTTGCAGTTCAGTGTTTCTGTTGTTCCGTTGTTTTTCTCTTATAGCTGATGTGTTTTCCTCGATTTTAGTTTGTTTTTGCTTAATCAATTTGTGACTATTTAACAGCGGCATACTACTGTTGCCTTTATTTCTATGTATATGTATAAGAGACAAGTGTGTGTGCTCAGTTTTTAGAATTGTCAGACTTTTGACGTGAAATTTAGTGCATTAAGATATGACCAACAACATTTTGCTGCAGTCTTAATGCGTCGAATATCTTTTTTGAATAAAGTATAGCTTCGAATATCTTATCTAAATATACAACTTGCTTCGAATATGTATTTTCCTGTGTATTTATGATTTATTCTTTTGAATGATATTGTAAAATATAAATTCCGAGCTTAATAGAACAGACAGGGGAAAAGTTGTTATGAATGTATGTAACGAACAATACTTTAGAGCATAGGAGAAACTTATAAATATATTCAGTTATAAACTATTACAGAGGATTTGGACAAATGGGAGTCGCTTCCAGTCCTTGTTACAGATGTAGCACGGTATGTTCGCCGAACTCAATTCTGCCAAGACGGAGGTTAGAAGGAAGAAGATCCAGAAATGTGCATTCATGTCTCTGTCGGAACTGCTTCAATCGTGCAGGTTTGTTGATTGCCAACAATATCATTACAGCGGCCCAAATGAAGTGCATTGACGTCATAAGTTACTTAAGAAACCCTTTTTAGTTGCTACGATTGATATCTTCACTAGATATTATAGACTTAACTTTTAATACATTGTGACATGGATGGAGAGTTGTCTCATGGCACTCATACCACATCTTCTTATTTATCATGATATTCATTTCAGTGCGCATGACACTAGTTGTAACGATTGATATCTGCCGCATGTAATAGAGACGTATGATTATTATTTCAGTGCGCATGACACTAGTTGGTTGATTGAATAACCTTTATGAGGTATTATCAGACAGACATTCTGGAAATTTGAATACGTTAAAAAAATCAAATGTTCTGATAGAAATATCTAATATTTACTGTGTTTTAGCGTTCTCAAAGCCTGATTAAAGGGATTAAAGGCCTGATTAACAACTTGTGTGACAAAACTAAATGTAAATATCAGTGTCAACTGTTTCCGGAGATGCATTCTGTAATTAATAAACTAATTTCCATCAATAAACAATTGTTTACATTACTCTTTAAATACAGCACTACCATGTTTTTAACAAAGTAATCAATAGGTGAAGGTATAACATTTTTGTCGTCGTTACATGTCCTGTGATTAGTAAAACAACTGATTGATTGTTCTTTGCTTAACGTAACTATTCATGCATAACCATTTAACCATTCGGTAGGCAGTCTCTGCGGTATGGATTGACATATAATTAAGAGAGTGCAATCTAGAAATAAAGTATTTTAGATACGATGATTAATGTTTGTCTTGTACTTGATAATAGCGAGGCGAAATTTATCAAAGAGACATTCAAACTCATAAGTAACCTATTAATCAATAAAAGAGTTGTTGCAAGATATTATTAAAATGAACGAGAAAGAAAGAGAGAGAATAGTTCGTTTTCCCTTAACACGAGGCTACAGATTTAACATCCCCATTCTAACCGGACATGGCCATGATTACCACACCCCGCATACCCAAACGAATACGTTCTTTAACCCTAAATTAACATATAGATTGGAGAAGTCCAGGTGACAAGAATTCTATATCCCGATCAACCCTTTTATTAAAAATGATTAATAACCGATAACGCAAATATGTATTATAGCAATGTCCGTTTTCTTAATAAGATTCATGTTCGATGAAAGAAATAGTAAATTGTCAGTTGAAATGAATTCAGAGCGAAACTAGTTCAACCACTTATACATCCATATCAAGTCGTTCGTTTACTGTTATAAACTAAATAATGACCCACCGATACACCACTTGATACGCATTTTTAATAATGTAAATATGACTACTTTAATGTTGTTTTAGTTTAACAAATTTGTTTTATGAATCAAGTCTGATTTCAAAGCTGTTTATTCTCAGTTTGGTCTCTACTTCATTTTCAATTGATACGTATTTTAATTCCTAATTTTAGATGGACCTATTGTTGAAGAAACCTGCGTCCATCCACGTTCATTACACCGGCGTGTAGTTTATGCTAGCCAACAACACCTTAGCACCGGTTCTACAGTTGATACTTTCTTAACACAAAATGACTTAGCGTCCCAGGTATCCGATTTCGAACCAACATTATCAGATATTGACGAATAATGCGAAATGGAAAAATGATGTCTACCCAAAGCCAATAAATTTACATCTCGTTATGTTCCTACAGTTAATTTTTTATACCTTAAAACAGAAAAAAATATTACTTAAACATTAGATGAATCTTATACCAATTGACGTGTTTTTGGTTATAATATACTCTGAATAGGGACTAAAGTATTGCTATCTCCAAACAAGACCCCGGCCCTGAAAAAAAAATGAAATAAAATAAAACTAAACAGAAACAACAATACACACAACTTATGGTCCTATATGTACATCTTCTCGATACGTATAGTTTGGCATTGCGCAAAGTCATGTTTGAAGCATACTGTTTACGACGTTTTAAAATTAAATATATATTAGATAAACAGTAAAATAACAAAAATACCGAACTCCAATGGATATTTAAAACGGAAAGTCCTTTATAAAATGGCAAAATCAAAAGCACAAACACATCAAACACATGGAAAACAGCTGCCATATTCCTGACTTGGTACAGGGATTTCCTTATGTAGAAAAAAGTAGATTAAACCTGGTTGTATATATATCTAGCTTAACCTCCCACTTGTATGACTGTTTCATAGAATTCCATTAGATTAACAAAAATGTGTGTTGGATATGTACTGATTTGATGCCTTCTTATTTTAGTCAAGGAATATATAGTTTATCTGTTATTTGAAATAGATTTTGAACTAGCTTTCAGTTACTGCGAATACTCATAAATCAGTACTTTGTGTAAATTTTGGTTTTCTTTGTGCTTTGTGCTAGTTCGATGAGTCAAACATTTTCCACTTTCTTTTACGCTTTGTTTTTATGGTTTGCTGTTTTATTTATTTTTTCACGGTAAGAGGAGGGTTGTGCGCTTACAAGTAGGTTTTACATATTCTATTGTGCCTGTCCCAATTCTCGAACCTGTAATTCAGTGATTGTCGTTCATTGTTGTCTGTAATATTTGTTTTTGTTTATTGTTTTGTTATAAATCAGGCTATTTGATTTATTTTGCTTTGATTGTTTCACATTTTTGCCGTACGCACTAACCCAGCACATATGTTTCAGGAACTCCATTCGATAATGTTAATGGTAAAATAATGAAGCCACTATGAGCTTTCCTGTAAGAAATGTTGACAAAATTACTATGCGCATGAACGATTTTTGAAAAAGGCATTTTCATTGATGAATCACAAATTGAATCTAGTAAAATCGAAAAAGGAGAATTAACAACATCAGTTTTAGGGCTAAGGACACAGCATGATGAAGTGACCAAAGATGTTGGTCAGCTGCAGAGGGACCTATTGAGCTTCATTTAAACTTACAAACAAGAATGAGAAAATGTGTGATGTTTACATCAATTCGTTCTTAATCAAGAATCTAAAGACACGGAGGCCTCAACTTTAAGAATTGTTGCAATGGAGATGAGGTGGACCCCCAATAGAGTTTTGTAGTGTACATAGTTTTGGAACAGATTCGGTTGTTAAGAACGGAGTGGTATAACTCATTTTAAAGCAATGCTAATTGTTAGTCGCTTTAAAACGTCATGAACAAGGAAGCTGTGTGTTCTGTTTTGGTGTCAAGATACAATACCCCCCAAAAAAGGCGAACCCCGCCAATCATTATGACCATTCTTGAATACCGCAAAGTAAAAAAAAGCGTAAAAGCAATTTCAAAAACACAAACTGTTAATAGATGGTACCGAATGCATTTGGCCGATGGAGAGATGAATAGAAAACTTGAAGACGGCTGTATTTGCTAAGGAGTGCGCCCAAGAAAAAACATTGAACATGCGACTCGAGCTCAAAAATAGCCACACATCAGTGTATCGGTAAGGATCACATGACTTTTTTTTTATCAAATCTACGGGAATAGACTTTTATTATTTAAAGTAACAGCAGCAGTAAAAAAATCATCATATATACCAGCATTCAAATTTGTAGGCCAGACGCGTTTTTCGTCTATGAAAGACACACTAGTGACGCTCTAATAAAAAAATTAAAAAGGCAAAACAAATGATGAAGTTGAAGACCATTGCGGACCCGACATTATAAACGATCTTGCATAATACAGCTTATGTAATCAATGTTTAACGTTATTTACAATTTGAAGTTATGTTTTGAATTATGTGGTCTGAAGACTAGGAATGTGTTTACCGAGTTTAAAAACATCTACAAAACCATAGCATGTTTACTAAAATAAAATAAGACGATCAAGATGACGTTAGTAATCAGGTGGGATTGCATTTGGCCTAACTGAATCACTTTTAAAAATGTTGCATCCATTAAATACGGACTGATTATCTGTACACTGTTTCAAAATTAACGGGAACACTTCTATTTTAGCATAAAAAGCTTTATTTTGAATTAATTAAATACCAACCAATAACATAGTTTATATTGTAATTGATGCTATTTTAGAAAAGAGTATCACAGTGTTGTTAAAGATACATCGTATGTTATTTTATTTAACGATTTTTATAGTCGCACTGGGAATCGTACCGATCATTAGGAAGTAAATGATTTTGATAATCGATTTCCTAATGATTTGTTTAATTATAATGACTTTTAGGTGTAGTTATTTTAGGTAATGTTCATATTCCTGGACAACGGACTTTACCTGATAATTATGTAAACTCATTTGGTAAAACAAATTATTATTTTTTTGTAAAAAAAACCCAACAAAACGGACGATTAATTTATAATAGAGTAGATAGGCTTCTATTGTTGTTGATTATGCGATAAGTTCAGCAAATATGATTTGTAAAATTACAGATTTCGAAGTTTTATGTTTTTGCAATCTTTATTTAGATATTTACGTTCAATTATTTCTTGAGTTTAATGTCGAAAAAGTCTCATCAGATACCGAATATACAATTACAAGTAAATGGAAACATGGACAAATCATAACAGTTTAAAAGTAATGGAAATATCAATGAAGTTGATGATTTATTTTCACGTTGATTAGAGAAGAGAGTAAATGTCGATGTTGTTGATCAAAACTGTATGAAAGTTATAGTAGATGATGTAACAAATATTCTTTTTAAACGTTTTGCGCTGATATCAATATATCAAAATATGAGAATAATAAGAATACTAGAAATAATAATAAGTAACTTTTTAATCGCGATAGTATTAAAAGTGTGCATCTATATAGAAAATCACTCAGATTAAATAAGCACTATGGGTCAAATATATCTAAGTAAAGATGAGAAATAGCTAGAAAAAAAAAAACATTAAAAGAAAACTATGACCAGTAGCATTCGTCTCTTTAATAGTGATATAGAAAATGATACATTGTAACACTTACAATAAAAAAAAAAACTGCTTGTTTTGACAGACATTTAACATGAAAAAGAGAGTTAAAAAAGAGGTCGACTTACAATCTCTAACCTATTTTCAATTTTTATTTTGATGAGATTTTTTGAACAATAGTATTACAAGAGACGTGGTTATCAAAGTTAACAGTATACATAAAAATATTAAATCGCCTGGTGATGATATGATAATTATTTAATACATATATTCAACTGCTGATTTATTTTGTGGTGTTGATGTGTATCTTTTCAATTTAATTTTTGATACCGTTTTTCTTTTATTTGAGGCATAGCTTATGGGAAATGTAATTCAAGTGTTCAGAAATAAAGATAATATATCAAAGCCGAGGAACTACGGGCTAATAACACTTGTATTTTGCCTTTGGAAAATATTTACTTCTATATTGAATGAAAAACTATGCGATTACTTGACCAACTTTTATTCCTTCACGTAAATCAAACAGGTTTTAAACATGGTATATCACAAATCATCATATATTTTCGTTGTACTAATTATTAGAGCTTTTGAATAAAAAAATAAAAAAAAAAAAATTACACTGTGCTCAAATGAACGAATGTTGATTTCCAACGAGCGTCCAATGTTACGCTGAGAAATTGACATTTATGCAAACAGTAGAATGATAGCTTGAACGGATTTTTTCGAATTATGCAGAATACGTACAAGAATAAAAAGTTACGTATATAATGAGAAAGTTGTTATTTCGTGCGCAATCGGTGTTCGACAGGCAGAACATCATCCTCCTGCCTTATTTTTTTATTTATCTAGTAAATGATCTCAGAATATCTTGAATGAACAAATTTAACTGGTTTGACATCTATAGGTCAGATATGGAAAATAAACCTACAGTTTACTTAAAAATAGTTGAAATGTAATGTTTATATGCTGATGACACTGATTAGCAGAAACCAATTCTGATTTACAGAATATGTTAAATGCTTTCTAAAAGTATTGTACAACATGGAAGTTAAAAGTTAGTGTTGAAAAAAATACTATTCTTTTTTTCAGGTAGTAAAATCCCACAAAATTTGATTTTTTTTTATTAACGATAATAAAATTGAAAAGTTCAAAGACTGCAAGTCACTTGGTAAAATGTTGGCAAGACGTTCATGTTCGTTTTGGATATCAAATAAATATTTATATGAACAAGGTATAAAAATATATGTACTCTGCCTATAAACAATGCAGACAAATCTATAAAACTATAAGTGTTAGTTCGATATTTTTGATAAACCAGAGTTGCCACTTCTTATAACTTAGAAATTTGGGGTTTTGAAAATTGTGATTTGTTTAAACGTATCAACTTCAGATTTTGTAAATAATGAATTCTATATTAAAAACAAAGCACTTCAAATTTTCATTGTTTATGTAGAACTTGGCAAATATCCAATATCCTTAAATGCAAAAGTTGGAATGATAAATGTCAGGGCAGATAATTAATTGATAAAGAAAGTAAAATATCTTGTCTGCTATATAGATTTGTATTCAGCAAATTCAAAATATATGGGTATCAAAAAGTGTTGAACAAAACATAACAAGACCAATGTAGACAGTCATGTTTGTCAAATATAGATGTTTCACCAAAAGGGTTATGTTATAGAATTTTTAAGACAAAAATTAAGTTTGAAAAATATTTTAATATTTTGTCAATTACCATTTGTATAATTTATGCAAATTTAGATGTGGTAGTCACCGATTTCCAGTTGAGACAGGAAAATTGTCTTTTTAAGAGACGATAGAGTGTGTCATTGCTGCGACTCAAATGGCATTGGTGACGTATAACGCTACATGCTAACACATAAAACATCGAAAGCAGATGAAAAAAAAATCTTATCTGATTATTTAAAAAAAAAAAAAAAAACACATACCATCTTTAATTAAAAGTAAATACATAAAAAATGAGTTCGATGACCCCATGATTGAAATCATACCATTTGAATTGAATTGTGTTAAGGAACATCATATCTATAGATATAAGAAGATGTGGTATGAGTGCCAATGAGACAACTCTCCATCTAAGTCAAAATTTATAAAAGTTAACCATTATAGGTCAAAGTACGGTCTTCAAGCACGAACAGCAAGCTATAAAGGGCCACAAAAATGACTAGTGTAAAACCATTCAAATGGGAAAACCAACGGTCTAATCTGTATAAAAAACGAGAAACGAGAAACATTATCTTTAACTAAAAGTAAATACATAAAAAATGATTTCGATGACCCCATGATTGAAATCATACCATTTGAAAGGAATTGTGTTAAGGAACACCATATCTATAGATATAAGAAGATGTGGTATGAGTGCCAATGAGACAACTCTCCATCTAAGTCAAAATTTATAAATGTTAACCATTATAGGTCAAAGTACGTTCTTCAAGCACGAACAGCAAGCTATAAAGGGCCACAAAAATGACTAGTGTCAAACCATTCAAAAGGGAAAACCAACGGTCTAATCTATATAAAAAACGAGAAACGAGAAACATTTATGAACCACATCAACAAACGACAACTACTGAACATCAGATTATATGTTTAGAAATCATAATGGATCAATTTTTTAAATAATAGGAAAGACGTATGTTAAACCTTATTACTATCTTGTTTTATACTTGAACAGCTATTGTCTAATTGTAAAGAAAATGATTCGAATAATTTAGGAATTCTGTTTTATATTGCGGGAAATTCTCTGTTGTTTTGATTTTATATTATTTTATACTGATGATATTATGGTGTGAATAGTTTATCTTTATTAAATACTTGTTCTTTAATTTCTGTGTCATTTGGTCTCTTGTGGAGAGTTGTCTCATTGGCAATCATACCACATCTTCTTTTGTTATATTGGTAATAGTTACAGGTTAGTTTAATATGTTATACATTCAATGGTAATCGTTCTGTACATGTACCAGTCATCATTGATTATCGATAGAAATCATGGCTGTACAAGCTTTATCAAATTCCAACAGCAACATTAATTGTTTTTAACACATAATAAAGTTTATATTACACGGATTTTTCAATATCACATATCCTATCAACCCACATTTTTCATTTTTGGTTGATACGGGTGGGACAGTAATAAAAACATATATTATAACATCTATAACTTCTATGGACAGCATATATATATACAATAAAATAAAATTGAGAATGGAAATGGGGAATGTGTCAAAGAGACAACAACTCGACCATAGAACAGACAACAGCAGAAGGTCACCAACAGGTCTTCAGTGCAGCGAGAAATTCCCGCACCCGGAGGCATCCTTCAGCTGGCCCCTAAACAAAAATATATACTAGCTCAGTGATAATGAACGCCATACTAAACTCCAAATTGTACACAAGAAACTAAAATTAAAAATAATACAAGACTAACAAAGGCTAGAGGCTCCTGACTTGGGACAGGCGCAAAAATGCGGCGGGGTTAAACATGTTTATGAGATCTCAACCCTCCCCCTATACCTCTAGCCAATGTAGAAAAGTAAACGCATAACAATACGAACATTAAAATTCAGTTCAAGAGAAGTCCGAGTCTGATGTCAGAAGATGTAACCAAAGAAAATAAACAAAATGACAATAATACATAAATAACAACAGACTACTAGCAGTTAACTGACATGCCAGCTCCAGACTTCAATTAAACTGATTGAAAGATTATGTCTTCATCATATGAATATCAGGCACAATCCTTCCCGTTAGGGGTTTAGTATCATACCATCATAACATATATGAGAAGAACATAACCCGTGTCATGCCAACAACTGGTTTTTAAATAAATGTGTTTAGTGCCGATGCAAAGACCCTATAGGTGAATCAATATTAACGCCAAAATATGCAATCTTTAATGACCTGACAAAAGTATCGTAACTATAATATACTTTTCTCTTTTTTTGGTCTTTTGGAAAATGTTGTCTGTGCTGTATTTAGACCCTTCTACCAAGAAATTTGTTTTGCATGCACACGTATAAAAATTGCGGTTTTTATCCAACGCAATCATAAGTTTGAACGTTGTTTTCAATTTAGACTTATTTATATTTTTTCGTTTGGAATTTATTATATTTGCCTTCGGGTTTATATGATCCGTTCATCTTATTTTTCGACTCTTTAAAATTCAAGAGTCTATCCTAAATTGAGGTAAATTATATGGCCTTCCAAATACCGTTTCGATTCCTAACATCACTGAAGAGACATTAATTGTCGAAATCCGGATATGGTGTACAAATTTTTTGCACCTCATGTAGCAGTATACCATCTTTTCCGCAAGTTTATTGTTTTCTGTTTGGTAATAAAGACCAAAAAAGTGAAAAGTATATTTTAACAAATCGGATTTTGACTAACAGGTCCAACTGATGTTCGTAAACCCTTCTTACTGCCATTGACAGATTGCCAAATAAATTGATCACGAGATGTAACATGGATCTTAATTATTAATTTAATACTAAACAGAAAACAATAAACTTGCGGAGAAGAAGGTATACCACAAACATGAGGTGCAAAAATTTGTACACCATATCCGGATTTCGACAATTAATGTCTTTTCAGTGATGTTAGGGATCGAAACAGTATTTGGAAGGACATATAAATTACCTCAATTTAGAATAGACTCTTGAATTTTGATCTTATTATTTATTTATTACCAAACAGAAAACAATAAACTTGCGGAAAAGATGGTATACCGCAAACATCAGGTGCGAAAATTTGTATACCATATCCGGATATATAATTCGTCTAAAATAACAGCCCAACAATGTTAGATCTGTAAATTTACGGAAGCAAATTTTTGTTCTTCCCTGGCCGGGATTCGAATTCGTGCTACTGAGATATCGTGTCACCAAATCGTCTTGCACTATGCCCGGCGCGCTAGCACAATCGACCACCTAGGCTCGACAGAAATCAAGCTTTCGGTGGCCGGGTGTTACCTTTCCTCTTCAGTTTTTTTTCTAGCGTCGTACCCACTACATGATATTTAAGGCATGAAGATGGAATATGTATATTAACGAATAATTCAATGATATCTGACTGAAGAAATCATAAAGTCAATGTTGAATAGTTTACACCGATGCAACGTTTTGTCCAAACAAATGCTAGTCCATTTTAACATTTTTCACTGAGTTATATATTGATAAAATGCATTACTGCTTCTTTTAATTAAAATATATATTCACTCATTGCTAGGTAGCCGACATTTACCACAGTGGTATTCTCGAATTTGTATACAATTAATTATTGCAGTTTGTAGAGAAGAATACAAATTCACTTTAAACCCTCTTACTTCCCGTCCCTCCTCTTTCCTCCACCAAATGTTTTTTTTTTTTTTTTTTTTGTCTTTGCATAGCTAATAGAAATAAATCCAATAAGCTTAAATATTAAATTACATTCGCTTTCATATTCTCATATTCTCATAGCATATGTTATCTATTTCTATTTGAACTGAAGACTGTATCTATGATTTGAAAGACAAAATAATACATGCAATGTATCGTATTGCGTACAGTTCAAGATATCAAAGCTAATTGTGATTGCATAATTATTTTGTTCGTTTCAGGCTACAGAAGATTTCTTGTCTATTCATTTGAAATTAACAATCTGAGTTCTGCCTGGGATATTTGAAAGTCCATTTAAATGTTAAATATTAATAATTCATGAAAACAAAAACAAATTGTTTAGTGTCCTCAAAGAACATGATTATTTCAAATTAATCAATACTTCTGATCATATATAACATTGTCCTCAATCGGAACTTCCGGTTAGATAATCCATTATATAAACTTAAACTGACGATTGTAACTGCGAATATATTGTTCATTGTCCATGTATTAATATTAGTATACTTGTGTTTGCTATATTGAGATGGAAGTTTACAAGTTTTAATAGTTTAATTACTTACTACTTGATGATTAATTGATGACTTAGAATATTGTTATGCCAGAAACTGATGAATGTTTTTCTATATAAACTATAGGATCTCAGTTTTTATTATAATACACTCTGTCGGTAAACTGTGAAACTATAACGTACATCTTTAAAAAAAATAGATAAAGTTAAATACTTTTAGATGGCTAATTTACTGTTTCAATATGTACGCTTGATATAGTTCTATAAGAAAGTGTATCAAAAAATGGAGAAAACACGCTACATTTCAAATAGAGGTGTAAGACACGAATTATCTGACCAACTTTTAGGAAGAATTCGTGAAACTAACTCTGATGCTGCAGACCATATCATAGCAACAATAAAGGATGATTCTAATTGTATGGACTTTCGTATTAATAGACACACTTCGTCTACCAACAACATCTTTGATTATTTTAATGGAGGAAAATTACATATGCCAGAAGACATATGTCCACAGAAGTTCAATGAAGAACTTGAATTTTGGGGTTTACCAGAAACTACCTTAGAATCGTGTTGCTTCACTAAGTATGTTTCGTACTTTGATAACTTAAACATTTTGAAAGTTTTAGAAGAAGGGGAATGTAAAAGAAATTTTGTGTTTGAAAAAGTAGCTGCAATGGCCAGAGGACACGGATGGAGCTCTATTCAAGCAAGAGTGTGGTCTGTAATGGAATATCCAACTTCTTCTATGTTAGCCAAGGTAAAACTGTTATCTAAAATTAGTGCTGCAGTAATTTTTATAATAATGTATATTTGATACAAGAAGATGTAGTGTGTAATTGTTTCTTGCTTGATCAACGTCCATCTGCGAGTATTTCATGCAAATTCCGGGTCAGAAAATATAACAATTAATTCAGTTAACACTACATGTATGTTCTTCAATGTACCATGTAGGGATCAGATGAAGGGCGGGAATTTTTTGTGTAACTATTTATTTTCGGGACCTCTTTGCGGTCCGCGTTTAAACTATGTCGATTCTTTAAAAAAAAATCCGGGACAGCTATTTGGATTTAACTAAAGTTGAAAGTGCCGGATGTTTATCTCAGGATAAAAACAATATTTTTATGCACTTTCTTTTGCGTGCAATAAGGTACTGTATACCAAACCACAAAGAAGGACACAACATAGAGTTGATAACTTAACAACCTCAAGCGTCAATTGAAAATCACATTGTCCCTATTATGTACTGGTTACCTAGAGGACTCCATAAAAAAAATAGAAAAAACAATTTATAAATCCAGTTAAATATCAGCGTCTAGCATGTGTACTTCAGCTAAATTGTCAGTCCATCTGATTATTGGACTTCCTATTATTAGAAACCATTTTTTCAATATTGCAAGAAAGTCTATCAAAACACAAATGTCAATTATTTTTGGAGCTTAAAAAAGTCTGGTCAAGTCCGAGAAAAAACTATATTCTATTAATCAAGTAATTAACTAAATCCTTCATATAATAATATGCAATGAGCAATATGAAGCTTGGTTCCAGATATCAAGAAGCTCTGCTCTGTAGTTGCTTAGAACATTGTGACGACTATTTCTTATAAGAGCACCAACATGAAGTACATATCTAACAGGAGGTAAATAAGGAACGGAATAAAAAAGTTTCACCCAATAAAATAACCCAAGCAGAAGCTATATTTTAGTTGCTGAAAACAATGCAACGATAGAAGTATAGAAATGTGTAAACATCTTTTATGAATTAAATTCAAGATAAATAATACTCTCAATTTGGCATTAACATTATTATTATTTCAATTGCATTATAATTAGGATCCAGAAACAAGCTGTTAAATTATATTAATCCATTTCCTAGTAAAAACAAAGCTGATACAGATCGTCACTTACTATTCAAGTGTTTGTTTTTTTTTTTTAATTTCTATTGTTGAAGAAGGAACTACAAGTGTAATCATTCACAGTGTTGTTCTTAAAGTTTGTTGTTGAATGAATAGTTATCTATATGGAAATTATACAACTTTTCCCTTTTTGATAATTCTATTGCGCAAAGAAAAGTAAAAAGGTGACGAATTACAAACGTGGCAATCGATATGATTACCAATCTGACGCATGGTACTAAAACATCGATGAACTTTGATTTGCAGTTGCTGAGAAAATGGTCACACAAATTAATCTTAGATGCACCCATGTGAAGAAAATACACATATAATGCAGCAAATAGAAAGTAGACAAGTAAATACTATGAGAATGCGTCAAACTATATAGCTTTTTATAAGTAAGTGACAAATATAAAACAAATCTCTGATGTGTAGTTGGTGAGACAATGCAACAGATAAGTGTTACGGACGGACAAACGAACGAATGACTTGAGAGAGTGTTACGAACGGACAAACGAACGAATGACTTGAGAGAGTGTTACGGACGGACAAACGAACGAATGACTTGAGAGAGTGTTACGGACTGACAAACGAACGAATGACTTGAGAGAGTGTTACGGACGGACAAACGAACGAATGACTTGAGAGAATGTTACGAACGGAGTGCACGTGTTACGGACGGACGAACGAACGAATGACTTGAGAGAGTGCTACGGACGGACAAACGAACGAATGACTTGAGAGAGTGTTACGGACGGACAAACGAATGAATGACTTGAGAGAGTGTTACGGACGGACAAACGAACGAATGACTTGAGAGAGTGTTACGGACGGATAAACGAACGCATGACTTGAGAGAGTGTTACGGACGGACAAACGAACGCATGACTTGAGAGAGTGTTACGGACGGACAAACGAACGAATGACTTGAGAGTGTTACGGACGGACAAACGAACGAATGACTTGAGAGAGTTTTACGGACGGACAAACGAACGAATGACCTGAGAGAGTGTTACGGACGGACAAACGAACGAATGACTTGAGAGAGTGTTACGGACGGACAAACGAACGAATGACTTGAGAGAGTGTTACGGACGGACAAACGAACGAATGACTTGAGAGAGTGTTACGGACGGACAAACGAACGAACGACTTGAGAGAGTGTTACACCTTTAGACTATCAAATTTAACTGGAATATTTAGAAGCATTTTGATCTTTTAAAGAGAAGACGAACTTGTTATGATACTTATAAAGTAGGCTGGTCCTCTCCTTGCAACCTACGGGTATGTCAGAGCCAAACAGATAAAGGACAGGGAACCAGTATACTTATAAAGCAGTATGTCGTTGGGTTCTTCGGAAATTGTTCGTAAATCACTTACATTGTATTAATGTTACAGTATAGAAAGAAACAATTAGTAATAAAAACTTGACAATAGATAACTATCCGTTAACCATTTACCTGTCGATTGATTTTTTTTATCTCAAAAACGAAAATAAATTGATTTGATGAAACCGTGAGATGATTGTCAATGACAACTTTCCACCAGAGACAAAATGCAAAAAAGATGTCATTGAGTAATTATTAGTACAATATACTGGGTTTTGTTAATTAGGATAATTGAATTTCAATGAAATATTTATATACTGGACAGTTTAATCTTACTGTGAAAAAAAGTACAATCTAATTATTGTGGTGATATTTGATCGGGTAATAAACCCTCTATGGTATATTAATTGTAATGGGAGGGGGTCGGTGTCGACCCCTCCTGGGATGTGTAGTGGCTAGTACTTCGTCCCTATTCAATCCTCGGGATACCTGATATCAGATTTTGGCCGAACAAAGACATAAATCAAAAGAACTCAACAATTCAATGAAATGAAAGAGAATAGTATTTCAAAAGTTAAGTTCAAAAACGAAATGTAATGAAATAGTAATAGTTCGCAAATGAAACTAAAAGGAAAAGTCTTTTAAATCAAATGAAATCAAACTTTAAGTTTAAAAAGAAAATGTAAATGTAATTATATACTTCGCGTTGTGTTGTAGAATTTAGTAAATTGTATAAAAATAATGCCAATGTAGTTGCTGAATATTAACTCAAGTGGAATGGTGACATCTTGTTAGTCCGACAACCATTATTCCGACATCCCATTGTTCCGACAGCCCATTATTCCGACATCCCATTATTCCGACAGCCAATTACTCCGACATCCCGTTATTCCGACAGCTCATTATTCATGTTATTCCGACATTCCATCTGTCTCAAGTGTATGGGTAATTTTCTACAAAAGACCATCTCTGTTCTCGATAATATTTGTGGTTGTCCGTTTAGATTCCGATTATTTTTCTGATGCGAGACATTTGTCTCAGTGCCTTAGAGTTGATATACATGCATATTGCAATGTTGAGTCCTTATCCTTGCCCCCTTTTCCTTTAAACGGATCGGGTATTTTATTTGTCTTTATATTTCGGCGTTTGTGTGTCCATTGTCATTCTGTGCTGTCCTAGTCCCCGGTTTTGTTTTTGTCTCTTGATTTACTTTCCTTTTACTAGATCTTCGGTTTCCCTCCTTTTGTATAAAGGGAGTGAGGTTTTACCACAATTAACTACATAAATAAATATTTCAAAATTGGATAACCCTACCGTCCCCATTTGGTTGTAACACTTTCAACCCCTTGTATCACTCAACTAGGTTTTATCTAATTTTGTAGCGGAAGTGTTACATTTTTCCTGAAAGTAAAAAAAAAAATAGGAGAAACAGGGTAATTTTTCGTAAACTCAGCGTATATTCTTTTATTGTAAACATGTAAACGAGCCTCTATAACCACTTAAGTCAGAACAATCACGGGTCATTATTCTTAATGCATGGCTGTATGTATCACAATGGGGTTCTTTTTCATTTTATACCCCCCAAGGGTGACTTGGGAATAGAAATATGGTCATCACAGGTCTTCTTCCGACCGGCAGTAAAACCCTTGCCAAAGTTGGGCGTCTGTTTGGCTGTGCGGGGTGTATCAAGTACGCAGCCACGTCCGGTCAGAATGGGGACGTTAAATTCGATGCCACGCTCTTTGCACGCCAAGAACCCTTGCAACACCTCTTTGAAGGGTCCATAAGTGGCCTGTTGCAAGGTGAAATTTCTATCCCTATCCAATATACCCTCATTTTCCAGTGGCAGTCTAAATTTCCCCGACCTTCATCCCGGACGCCCTCTATTACAAGATTGTTAATTTGTTCTCGTCCTGAACATGCATGAAAAATTTGCCACTGGACATTAAGCAACCAACAATCAATCAATCATTTTTATATTTTGGTGAAAAACAATCATAACAAAACAAAATCCAATTGAGGTCAATATATATACGTTGATTTTACTAGTTTTACTATTGTTTGTACTTGTGGAATATATAAATAAATAGATGTGGTATGCTTGCCAATGAGACAACTATCAATCAAATTTCAAATGAAGTGGATGTAAGCAAATATTGACAACCGTACAGCCTTCAACAATGAGAAAAAACCCATACCGTACAGTCGGCTATAAAAGGTCCCGACATGAAAAATATGAAACAATTCAATTGAGAAAACTAACGGCCTAATTTATAACAAGTTACAAAAAACAAATATGACAGACATGAACCAACGACAACCACTGAACTACAGACTCCTGACTTGGGACGGCACTTAAAGAATGAGGCGGGGTTAAGCATGTTTCATGTTTGAAGGCGCCAACCATCCCCAACCTTGGACAGTGGTGTAACAGTACAACATAAGAGCAAACTATACAAATCAGGGCTTAACTCATCAGATCGATACAAAGCAAAAAATATCTAACAAAAAGACAGACCGGATGTGGCAGGGTATTTATACATCCCTCACTACAACAACAACAAAACACAAAGTACAGATCTGAGAGTACTCGCAGTTACTGACAGCTAGTTACAATAACAACTTATAAAAAAAATCATGTATCTAAGACACTGTGTCTTTCTTGTCCCGCATGTGTCTTTGTCAAATGGTTTCCTTTCTCCTTGACAAACGCTTGGTTTATCTACCATTCATTGGTTAAGTCAAGAAAAACTATTGAGTCAAACTGATTGTGCATAACACTATAATGCATAGATTTTTTTTTTTTTAATTTTGGAGGAGACTAGCGTCAATGTCTCTTAAAATGCGTTTGATGCTGAATGTCAATTTCAAAATGCGAATATTGAAGAAAACAAATACTACTATTATTGACAATATCTGTAAAATGTACAATGTGTGTTAATGCATGACAATACGGGGCCCCAGTAGAATACCCCCTTATATATGTTACGTTAATAAAATGCATCAGTTTGCCTCACTTTTAAGCAAATTTAAGATTTTTTTTTTATAGTTGTAGGTTGTTTTAAATGAGACGCAGAGTCCCCCACCTAATTCCTAAGTTGACGGGTCAGATTTGGCCATATTGGAGCCACACAAATTTCCAATATATATTCTGTATTTTATAAAGCAAATCATATTTTGACCCCGCCTAATTTGTTGAAAATAGTTTGATGATAATCTGTATAAATAATTCCCTGTATAACGTAATTCGAACTCTGCACATATATAAACGTAATTAAAATTCTGTAAAGTCTGTATTTGCGTTTTCAAAGAATTGTTACGTCATAATTCCGTATATTCGATAGCTATTCATACGGAAAAAGTTATGCAAATGCATAAACAAATTCTGTAAATTTAAGGCGCGAAATTGCACAATTGAATTAGATTCCTGTATTGTTATAAGAGAAAAATGGTAGTATACTGCCAGCTTTTACATTGATATGAAAAGTAAACTTGTCCCTACAGAAGCAACTTCTGTTCTCACTTTAATGAAAAACTTATCACTCCAAAGATATAAATAAATATATGGTATTGAAGAAATATCAAATAAATGAATAATCATCCAATTTATAAAGTAATATGAAATTTGAATACTTTTATAGTTAATAATAAAGCTCTTTTGTATTATAGTATGTTTAAATGAAATTAAAACTAAATTAAACATTTGATAAAGAAAATACTAATCTGGAACTTTAAAAGGGAGACTACGCAAACCACATCCATTACATAATCTGAAATCATTACGATAGTCGTACATGTTTGTGGACAAATTTTCTAGCCAGCAGTTAAAGAAAGTCCAATCATGTATGAAGTAAACAAAATGGTATCAATTGATTCATTGAGAATGGAAATGGGGAATGTGTCAAAGAGACAACAACCCGACCAAATAACAAAAAAAAAAAAACAACCCAAGGTCACCAATGGGTCTTAAACACAGCGAGAACATCCCGCGCCCGGAGGCAGGCTTCAGCTGGCCCCTAAACAAAAATGTGTACTAGTTCTGTTGATTGGTTATAATTTGCTTCAAATCCTACTGGGCGTAGGATGTATAAATACACAGTCACTTTCGGTCTAATAATGGACATTATAACATTGTTTTCGTTTTGAAAGGATTACATCATCAATTCTATAACACAAATCAATCATCAACTCTACTCCAGTCTCTATTTTTTTCTGTTTTTGATCTGTTCACCTTTTATATTCTACAAATAGTGTGAACTTAAATGTTTTCGAAATGAATATACACAAAAAGATTCCAGCTTGACCTAAAGCAACCATATTTTATGTTTGGATTTCTTTAGTTGAGGTGTGAGTAGGAGTAAGTGGTCTTGTATACATTCTAGTTGTTTTATTGCGTTTATGATTTCCAAGATAGCCTCGATTAAAGGAGAGATGAAAGATACAAAGAAATAAATAAACTCATAAGTCAAAACGAGCTGACAATTCCATGACTAAAACGACCAAATGACAAATGACAGTATACCAAACACAACATAGAAAACTAAAGACTGCGCAACATGAACCTTATCAAAACCCGGGGTTGATCTAAGTTGCTCCGGAGGTATAAGCATATCCTGCTCCACATGTCGCACCCGTCGTGTTGAACATTTAAGTACAAACCCGGTGATAAGTCTAATTCGGTCGTTAGTTTCGACAGAGACAGTCTAGTATAGACTGTCCCTGGTTTCGATGAAAAGAGGACGGAATGGTGTGGTAAGGACAATTATATCATATCCATCGTCATCTTTGAACTAGATATTCATAATGGTCAACCAATTCGTGATGACGTCCGTAAAAGTTTCGAAGGAATTAATTCAACTTAACCATTTGGAACTCTTGGTTTTAAAGATGCATTGTAATCAGCAACTCTGTATCAAGTAAATTAAGATAACAATGCAGCTCTGTAATATCATATAGATTTGGAGATATATTCTCCATATGCCAGCGCTGCTGGAATGATAATAGGTATAGATTGATAGTTGAAATAGTGATTTTTTCTTTCGGGTGAAGTGATTTATGATCTATGATATCGCACAAGTTGATAGCGTCGAGACCTTTGTTTGCAGAAAAAAGTTAAGAAAGGATTTTTTTCCTCTTAATTTTTTCCAGTGCGAACTGGTCTAAAAAGTCTGTGACTTGCGAAATCTTAGATGATAGCTGTAAGTTTGTATAGGTTTGTAACAGTAGTACAGACTGACGTTTTTGGAAGGAGTCGCGAGTAAAGCGTCGTGCAAATGTGGTGAATACCTAACTGCTTTTGTATAAATTGCAGAAGGTCATTATAGAGACGTCATGGAGAGTAGGTGATGAACAATGACGTCGATCATGACTGCCTCTACGTCGAGTTGCATTGCTACAAATATTCATCACTCACCAAGGTACATAAAGGAATACTTATATCTTCATTTTTGTCATTGCAAACATATCAAGTGTATAATAAAAAAGACTGTTGTCCATTGTAATAGACGAAGTTACACGAAAAGAGCGGAGCGGAAAAGGAGTATAAAGATGTATTTTTGTCAACACACTGTGTCAGTCTTACTTCCTTTGATGGAATAGCAATTGCACTAAATTACATTTAAAACAAAGTAGAAATTGTCCGTTATACTATAAATACTTAACAGCTTTGATTGAAATATTAGATATCAAACAAGATGAGTAGCTTACGCTGTTCACGGGTGGTGAGTGTTACAAATTCAACTCCCCAAAATCCTCTGTAGTTTTCATTCTGCAGATGAAGCGCCTTCTGTCCTATATATCATCAAGGGAAATAAATGATGCATTTCCTACTTCAAAATCAACATTTCTAAAACAAATTTAGATAACAATTTTCATTTATCGATATGTATATATTCGTTAGCTTTTTACCATTTGTTTACTTCATAATTATCAATTCCGAAAACACTTCCGATTGCTCTATAAACCTTAAGTTGTTTGACTCAATCTTTTGTAAAAAAAAATTCTTTGCCACTTCACAGTATTTTTTGGGGGTATTAAATCAAATTTGTCAAGTTGATAAAAGCTAGAATTCTTGATCTATTCAAACAAATAAGTCCTATATTCAGGTCACAGTTTGGAATCAATCATAAGCAATTTGGCATTTGATTAAATGTTTAGAAATGTTACAAAGTGCTGTATGAACTTTAAAATAGTATGGTTTTGAAACTATCATGACTATGAATATTGGTAAGTTTGAAAAATATATTAAAAAATAAACTACTGTTAAAAAGAAAGAAAAAAAAAACAATAAACAGGTTTACTTTTTTTTACTTTTAGGTATATTTGTACACCAGCAATGCCATTGTCCTGCTGTCTTTGTTTCTACTGGTCAGCAGTACACACCCGTTATTTAGAAGGAAATTAACAAAAGATGAATGGTTTGAATACTTCACATCAGAGGAGGAGGAACTGTACAATGATTACTGGTCTATAAATGAAACATTGAACGGAACAGACATATCACTGCCCAGCCATGTTTACCGCGAGATCGATGCATTTTTGCATCTCAAAATGATAACATTGGCGTACTTTACGACTGAATTTATCTGCAGGCTTTTAGTATTTCCATTGCCGTGGAGAGGGTTTATTACATTTTTAAACGTCATAGATGGATTAGCCCTGGTTGTAATGTATATGTCGCTCATTGTAAATCAAGTGAATCCTAAAGAACAATATCAGGATTCTTTTCATGATGCCGTGCATTCACTTCAGATATTCAGAGTCTTTCGATTATTCCGACTGGTACGGCACATCAGCGGATTTCGAATATTGGTGTACACGCTTCGTGCTAGTATGGGAGATTTTTTAGTCATGCTTCTAAGTTTGTGTACAGGTGTTTTGCTGTTCTCGTCTCTCGCCTACTTCTCGCAAGATTCAGCATTTGCACATATCCCTGACGCAGCTTGGTGGGCTATTGTCACTTTAACGACTGTAGGTTATGGAGACATCTACCCGTCAACTGTCCAAGGAAGGCTGATTGCATCAGCATGTGCAATTACTGGGGTATGTCTTCTTGCTCTACTGATTCCAGTACTTGTTAATAATTTTCTGTTATTCTCCTCTCATTATGTTGGAATAGAGAGACGACAGAACTCAAAGAAAGAGCATTTCATTAGAAAACAAACACTAGTTTCACCAAAATAGGATACGAATTTAACTTAAAGAAAAAAGTGTATTTAGTTGAGAGTTAATTTTATGTAGTTGATACATTTTGAAACTTTACATTCTCTCATACTGTTCTAGATAACACTATCTACCATTTTCTAGAGTGTCCGCAAATGAGTGAAGAAAAACTTTTTTCCAATAATTTGTAGCGTCAAAAAAAAAATCATTTTACGTCATTTTAACAGTGGTTGTCTTTAACCGACATTAGGTCAACTGGTTGCATTTAAGGTCTTGAGGTCTTGGTAGTAAAATTATGAAACTCCAAGCTAGTGAATATATCAAATACCGAGTTATAGTAAAGGGAAGATATTTCAGTTAGCGTGCCTCCTTGAAAGTGCTTTCATACATTTATTATGTACTTAATAGTAAAAACATAAACGGTACCAATTTTCGTGCACCGGATGAGCATTTCGACAATCAATATATCTTCAGTGATGCTCGAGGCCAAAATATTTAAATATCCAAAATCTAAAACAATTGTTAAAGAGCGGAGCAAACCAAAAAGGACCTAAAGTACTGCCAAATCTGGAATCAGAGCTTTGCACAACGGAGATATATTCCTTAACTTGAGATCAAATCTCTAATTTTATAACAGCATATTTTAATCAAACAATATTCGTATTTGCATGCCAGTACCGAAGTACATGTAGATGTGTAATACAATCAATGGCGATCGTTCTGTATCAGCCATCTATGTTAATATTGATATCAGTCACAATTAAAAAGAGTTATCAAACCCCTTATCTGTATTACGGCAAGTCCCGCGAAAAACATCTTTTTATGTATATAATACAGTGTATATTTAGGAAATGGCTTTTTTGAATATCACACACCGTATCAACCCTCTTGTGATTATATTGGTGTCTCGGGTTGATACGGGCATGCTATTGAAGAAGCCGTATCATATTCTGTATATATTATTCGACTATTATTACATTGGTATTGTGCATTTTGTCCAAAAGATCAATAAGCTTCATTTTAATTCAATGGATTGATTGATTGGTATTTAACGCCACTTTCAGCCTTATTGGCCTTTTTGCGGCGGTCAGTTTTTCATGGTTTTATTCATTAATTTGAAAGCATATTTTAAACTTGTTTAAAAAAACATCTTGCTTTTTTTATGTTTTTATTGCCTTAAAATGTCAAATTACTATTTAAAAGATTAAAATAATATCTACCAAGACTTACGCGTCTAAAGTGATACAAAACGGTTAAATATACATGTATACGCCTTCGTGAAATTTTAAAGATACAGTACATATTTGCGTATCTGATTGTTTTCGCATTGTCATGAAAAAACGACCTCAAATCAAATTAAGAGAGCATGGGATGTACCATGTACATCGTACTGAAACGACACTGGATATTGGTACTAGCTGAAGCGGAGAGATGTTGTAAAATTTTGTAATCAAAGGTAAGAATTCCAATCAATTGTTTATGCATTTGTAATCATTGCACGTGTCTAAAGATTTGTATAATGATATGTTGGAATTGACCTGTTCTCCAAACATTTATAAATGTTAGACGTCAACGTAAATTAAATCTGTAGATAAAAAACTACCATCTAGAATCGGAAAAAAAAGAGACGCCGATTACTTCAGATCAAGAGATATAGCAAGGTTATGTTTAATATTTTCCCCTTTTATTCAAATATGACCCACTACGACTACACAAGACCATAATTTTCATAAATTGTCATTTAAGATTATATGAAAGTCATAAAGACAAAGTTTTGTACGATGGCTTGCATTTTAAATTTATCTCCATTTCAGCTATTATCAATATCCGGTGTCGCTCCTATACGGAAATGTACAGTCCTACATGGTGTTTTTATTTTATCTCTTGCTTGTATGGATGTTTTCGTGTATATAAGATATTTTGTTATCTAGATTGCAAGCCCCCCGGAATGCTTTCACTAATAACATCGATCTTTAATTCTTCAATCGTACGAGTGTTTGGTTAAGAGAATCAACTATAGACAAGTTATATGTTCTAAACACTTGTCTCAATCAAGTATTTTGTAATCTAGTGGTTGAAGTTAAAATCAGACCGTTTTTTTTTCTCTCTTTTGAGTTGCTTTACATGTTGTCCTACCGGAGACTTTTATAGCTTACTATGATGATACTTTGTTTTGAGACAGTCATGTAAAATCGTCCTTACAACTGACTATTTCACTGTGTAATTGGTTGTGCTTATTTTAATTGTTTGTTGTGTAATTCACGTATACGCCACATCTATTTTATTCATATTGCAATACTCTTTAGAGGGATTTGTAGGTAACATATTTTGAAGTCATAATGTTTCCGGACTTGTTCACCACAGATACTCTCTTTTTAGGTAGCAGTTTCCAAATTTATCGATTTTGGAGGCCGAACTTTTTTTACATAAACCAATTTGGACTGTCACGTGACATTTTTTTCTTTTCCTGAATATGCATAAAATATATTTATTTATAGTACGGAAGCACATGTATTTGTTTTGGTAAAACACGTGTGTTTGTTTACATCAACACTTGTTTTAGAATACTAGTAATGTGTTTTACGGCGACCTATAGTATAAACTATAGTTATTTTAAAACTTTTATGCCAATTGGTCTCTGGTGGAGAGTTATAAATCTCATTGACAATCATAACACATCTTCTTATTTTTATATTTATATATAAAGGTTTTCCATTAGATACATTTGTCGCAGTGCAGGAAATATTCTCCGAATTATACACATAAATTAAATAAAATTTATAGTGTAATTATTCGAAGTTATCACGCCTTACGCTGAGTAGAATACTACATGCAAATGCCTTGGTTGTATTACTTCCCCCTCTCATTTAGACAGTCTTTTGTTTTTATGTGAAAAGTAATGGTTATTTATAAAGCTTTATATTACATTACATTTTAACTGGATGGCTGTGACTGAATCTGTATAATTTATGAATGACTGTTTTATAATGGACGAGAATAAGCCGTAATGTGTTTTATAATGGACGAAAATGAGCCGTAATGTGTTTTATAATGGACGAGAATGAGCCGTAATGTGTTTTAGATGTAAAATATACTGTTTTTTTTTTTATTTTGAGAAGTTGTATACGTTTGATAATAAATTAAATGCTACTTTCATAATGAGAGGTCATTTCTTATACATGTGTTGAGTTGAATTGTAGAAATAATTTATGATCGCTTAAGCCTGGCGAACTTGAACATGAAATATTTGCCACTAGATGCTTTGCAAACAATAGTCTCTCACGACTTCATTGATTTCTTTCCGTCTTCATCTTAGTGGTAGCGTGTACGCCTAGGCCGTATATGTCCAATTTCTATCCTCAATCGGGCCTATCAAAATTTTAAAAATAGTACTTGCGATCCATGTATGTATGTATAGTATTAAATATTGTTTTAATTTTTACATACATATTGCGAAGATAACGAAGATTATTGATACTTGTCTATTAATCATTTAGCGGTAATTTAAGACATGTTGTACATGTATTGACGGATCATTTTATGGGTATGATTGATTGTGGATTGTTTTACACCCCTCAGTACAAAATGCTATATTGCGATGCGTATATAAGCGTATATGTCAGACTAAATGAGTAGACTTGATATTGTGTGCCGCTTCTCCAATTATTATATGAGTAGACTTGATATTGTGTGCCGCTTCTCCAACTACTATATGAGTAGACTTGATATTGTGTGCCGCTTCTCCAACTACTATTTGAGTAGACTTGATATTGCGTACCGCTTCTCCAACTAATATATAAGTAGACTTAATATTGTGTGCCGCTTCTCCAACTACTACATGAGTAGACTTGATATTGTGTGCCGCTTCTCCAAATACTATATGAGTAGACTTGATATTGTGTGCCGCTTCTCCAACTACTATATGAGTAGACTTGATATTATGTACCGCTTCTCCAACTACTATATGAGTAGACTTGATATTGTGTACCGCTTCTCCAACTACTATATGAGAAGACTTGATATTGTGTGCCGCTTCTCCAACTACTATTATATGAGTAGACTTGATATTGTGTGCCGCTTCTCCAACTACTATATGAGTAGACTTGATATTGTGTGCCGCTTCTCCAACTAATATATAAGTGGACTTAATATTGTGTGCCGCTTCTCCAACTACTACATGAGTAGACTTGATATTGTGTGCCGCTTCTCCAACTACTATATGAGTAGACTTGATATTGTGTGCCGCTTCTCCAACTACTATATGAGTAGACTTGATATTGTGTGCCGCTTCTCCAACTACTATATGAGTAGACTTGATATTGTGTGCCGCTTCTCCAACTACTATATGAGAAGACTTGATATTGTGTGCCGCTTCTCCAACTACTATATGAGTAGACTTGATATTGTGTGCCGCTTCTCCAACTAATATATAAGTGGACTTAATATTATGTGCCGCTTCTCCAACTACTATATGAGTAGACTTAATATTGTGTGCCGCTTCTCCAACAACTATATAAGTAGACTTGATATTGTGTGCCGCTTCTCCAACTTATATATTAAATTAAAAAGTGTGTCTTGAAACTATGTCCTGAGACTATGTCCTGAGACTATGTCCTGAGACTGTGTTCTGAGAATATGTCCTGAGACTATGTCCTGAGACTGTGTCCTGAGACTATGTCCTGAGACTATGTCCTGAGACTATGTCCTGAGACTGTGTCCTGAGACTATGTCCTGAGACTAGCATGAACAATTTGATATCCATTTAGTTTAGAATAGTTTATGACATTAAACTAGTTTTCAAATGTCCTTCCTGTCATTCGATTCGAATTTAAATCAATTCTTCCTTCTCAATTTCAGCATAATTATGCAAACTCCAAAAAAACCCCAAAAAAACAGCGGCATCGATCGTTACGCTAAGCTTTATAGTCGTGCATCGAGTATCGTTTTAGAGGAGGTTGGAGTATAAAGGTTAGGGGAGGGTTTGGCGTCAACAAAAATGTTTAACCACGCCATACTCTGTATGTGCTTGTCCAAGTCAGGAGCCTGTAATTCAGCGATTGTCATGTGTTGATGTATATCATTTTTGTTTTTTGTTTGTTGTTTTATACATAAATGTGTAATACCACCATTGGTTTTCCCCTATTAGTCTTTGTTAAATTTGCACTTTTCAAAAAATTGTGCAGAATTTATCTTTGTTTCAAATAAAGAAATACTTGGCATGAGTAAAGTGTTATCCTGTCCAATACTACAGACAAAATTTCACATAATATTTCATTGCATATAAGATAATAACCATCACTGGAAGTTAACCAATCATATTTCCACCCCTTTCTTTCGTGTTTACAAGCTTAAGTAACCATGTAACCTCAAGTTTCCAAATAAAAAAAAATGGTGCTTTGAAACACTCAAGATATAAGTTGATGACTCAGAAATTTTTAACTGCAATGAAATGTAGGATTACTTTCCCACAACTGTCAAATTCAGGGGAATATTTTTTTTCGATCCTTTTTCGTATGCAACCGGGCGTGACGTACTATGATTTGGTGGTATTACACCTAAATCAGGCCGTTAGTTTTCTCGTTTGAATTATTTTAAATTTGTCATTTCGGTGCTTTTAATAGCTTACTATGTGATGTGGGTTTTGCTCATTGTTGATGGCCGTACGATGAGCTTTAGTTGTCTACGTAATTTGGTCTCTGGTGGAGAGCTGTCTCATTGGCATTCATACCACATCTTCTTATTTGCATATGGTCACTGGATAAAATATATAACTATAAACCAACAACTTAGATAAACAACAACGCTGTACAATTTACCTAAAGGAATATTTTTGTATATATCAATTTGAACGATAACGCACCACTGCGCTCTTATATGAAAATAAAATTGAGTTTATGACAAACAATTTAAAGCAGTTGGCAGATCATCTCAGTCATGGAAATAGTTTATTGATCGAACTTCAGAAAATACTATACGTACTTTATTACCTGTGAATTCGAAGCGAATATTAACGCAATTGGTCTTCTGGTGAACCGTTAAAGGACTTGTCCGTTTCATTTGTGTTTCAAATAATTAAATCATACGCATTTTTGGCGTGGGTTATAAAGGACAGTCAATTAGTTCCCATTTAAAGTATTTAAGGTAATACCCCCACTGACATACTTACACACTCACAAAAAAGTAATCACACGAACACTCACAAATTTCTCACTTACAAATTTCATTTATAGGTTATTGTTGTTACCTTTGTATTTTAGTTGAGATTAAAGTTACTGAAAAGGCAATCAAGGATAACTATACATAGTTGTAAATAATTTACATTTTAAAACAGCGGTTCATCGATTTCAAAATTATATATTTTTTTATATTTTTAACAACTGAACAAATCAATGTTATAATATTATTAGACCATAACCGTCATATTGGAAATTCCATAATGAAAGCTTATCAATTTTTAATAGGTCGTACATGCAAACCAATGGTTTTTCAATAAAAGCGAATTTACTTTTTAAAAAATACGTTACATAATTTTTTTTTAATTTCTGCATTTTGAATATAGCATTTGTGGTATTCAGACATCTTACTGTGTTTACCATGGATCATGTTATTTACTCGATAAATAATAAGGGTGACAAATTTGAAATTTCAAAAATAATTTTGGATAAAATCTCATGTAATGGGTCAATTGCTGGTAAACAAATACTTTCTGATTTTACTAAGGACAAGACAGTCGTTGAATTTCATTTTCAACGACATTCAACATGCACATTAAATATATTGGACTACATAAGAGGAGATTTATTACACATTCCGACTGACGTCTGTCCAAAAAAGTTTAGACAGGAAATGGAATTTTGGGGAGTACCAGAAAATGAAATAGCGACTTGTTGCTTTACTAAATATCAAAGTTTTTTGGATGATGAAAAAACATTAAGGGTTTTAGAACGAGATGAACACGAGCGACATGCGAGAAAGGAAAGGGTATACGCTATGAGTAAAGGCAAGGGATGGAAGGCAATGCAGGCGAAAATATGGCAAATTATGGAATACCCAAGTACGTCAGTCATGGCAAAGGTTTGTAACATACATAACATATATATTCATACATGCTTTTTTCTTTTATATAATTTAGTTCCGTTGGAAATGATTGCCTACTTCATATATTTATGCTTGCTAGATAATTTTTTTAAATATATCTAAAAAGTTAATAAGACTATACGGGTTGAATCAAGTGAAAAGGCAAATTGATGTTCCATAAACACGTGATTTGTACCATGGAATTCTATACTTTGTATATAAACTGTATTTAAAAGAATGTATATGTTATTACTTATAACATTTTATTACTTTTGACTGAGCTTTTTCCCTGGAAATTCAGTAACTAATAACAGGGATACTCGGACTAACGCTGTAATTCGAGTAAATTGTTAAAACAGCAGATTAGATAGCAATTCAACAAAAAAGACATGTAATTTATGACCTTGAACAAATTACAAACGCAAAATCTGTTGTATCTTGTAGAAACGTTTTGTCAATAAACCAACGTAAACACGCGGCTGTGCGTAAAAATGTAGTACTTGCTTCTTTTCACTCTTTTTAGATTTTCATGGTGTTCAGCAATTTAATGGTAATGCTATCCTTATTCATCCTTGTGGCTAGTACAGATCAAATGTTTTATGAATCATTAACAGACGAAGAATGGGACGAATATTTAAATGCGAAAGAAAAAGAAAAATTCGGATGGAAAGGAGCGGGTAGTTATAATGAAACAATGGCCGATAAATTACCAGACCTTAAAAGTCGGATGATTTTTTTAGAATATTTAGAATTGATAACAATTGTGTATTTTACAATTGAGATAATTTGTAAGATGATTTTCTTTCCCTTGCCTTGGAAGGATTTCCTCAACTTTTTCATTGTTGTGGATGCTGTTTCACTTATAGTGATGTACGTTGACAAAATAGCAATCGAAATCGACGAACGAGAGAAATACGAGGAAAGTTTTGTAGATGCAGTAAAATCATTGCAGATCATACGTGTAATGAGGCTTTTTCGATTATTGAAGTATGTCTCTAGTTTTCGCATTTTAATTTTTACGATTCGTACAAGTTTAAAAGATTTGCTTTTGATGTTACTTTGTCTTTTAACGGCAGTTCTCATATTTTCCTCTTTGGCCTTTTTCACACGAGATACTGCTTTTACAAGCATCCCTCAGGCCTCCTGGTGGGCAATTGTAACCTTGACAACTGTAGGGTACGGAGATATAGTTCCGAAAACTTTGCCGTCAAAGTTAGTTGCATCCGCATGCGCAGTAATCGGTGTCTGTATGCTAGCTATACTTATCCCAACACTTGTAAATAATTACATGTTATTTAACAGTCAACTTAATGTGATGCAACAAAAGACGAAAACGAAAAACGAAGCACTTCTGGAAAACAGTATTCTACCTGTCGATCACAAAACTTGATTTTTAACATGTACACCTCTCTCTCCAGCGAGAGGAGGAATATGACAATTATAAAATAACTCAGTATATTTCTATTTATTTTATCTGCATGATTTATATATAGAGAGAACCCGTATAAGTAGCTGTTCAACAGTTCTTTATTTTCATTTAGTTTGATGTAACCTGCATGGCGCACCAGAAATGTTTCAGGTGTTTGTATAGATGTGGTTTTATGATGCTACATAACGTTAGAAATTTAAATGTATCAGTATCGAAGGTGCTCGCAGTTACGACGAAATTCTAAGATTTATTCTATACAGTTGCTGCTACGTTTATCATATATATATATATATATATACATAACCACTCTAAATATCAGCACAACAATGTTAAATCTGCAAATATGCGGAAGCAAATTTTTGTTCTTCCCTTGCCGGGATTCGGACTCATGCTATTGGGATATCGAGACAACACCGCCTGCACTGTGTCCAGCGCTCTAGACAACACGGCCATCTACTGAACTAAAAATTCAGCTTTCGGTGGCCTAGTGTTACCTTTCCTCGTCAGTAGAGTCTAGAGATGTAACACAGTACACGATATATTAGGCATGAAGTTGGAATTTATTGCAGATTAGCTAAATATATATATATGATTTCTAGATGTAATAAGTTTGCTTAAGTAATTCAAATTAGAGTTGTAATAAGTTTCTGTAAGCAACCGATCCTATATCTATAATGTCTTATCTATCACCAATTGAATTAAAATTAGAAATACTTTAAATTCTTTAAGTTAATTAAAACAATTCTGGGATTTCTTTACATTAAAAACGCTTTTAATTCGGACGAGCAGGGCGAGGGAAATTTCAAACAATCCAAATGTAGCTCCTTCGTGAGTTATCAGTGCAGTCACTCTTTGAATATTAATTCTTTTAAAGTACATTGACTTTAAAAGGAAATAAATCTGAAAATGCAAGAATACGCGTTCTCACTTGTTTTTACTAGCTCTAGTTGATAAAGTCTTGACCTCACCAATTGTCCTAGGTCAGAGAAGTGCAAATGTAGGATTTATTTCAGGATTTCATTAGACTGAGGAAAAACCTTTTCATTGCAACAATTATAATAAGAGCTTTAAATTTATTTATTTAGTCCTTCATATTACAACGATAACAAAGTTCTTCAATGATTTCAAGATTAATTCGTTTATTGAAAAAAAAAACATTAACTTATTGATTGTTGGTTGCTTAACGTCAAATGGCAAATAGTTCATGTATGTTCAGGACGAGATGAGGATGATATAGTTTCGTCACATTGTGTAGAAATTTAAGGTTGCATGTCTTAATAACATTGATCATATAAATTGCATAAAGGGACATAAAGTACCAGCATTAACAACAAAAGAAAACGGTCTTGATGGGGTTTACAGATTAGAGATTAATGGGTCAAAAACAAGGACTATATTAAATAGGTGAAACAAGAATGTGTCCATAGTACCCGGATGCCCAACTCGCACTATCATTTTCTATGTTCAGTGGACCGCGAAATAAGGGTCAAAACTCTAATTTGGTATCACAATTAGAAAGATCATATCATATGGAATATGTGTACTAAGTTTCAGGTTGATTGGACTTTAACTTCATAAAAAACGACCTTGACCCTTGAAACTTTAACCTGAAGCGGACCAGACGGACGAACGGACGGACGAACGAATAAACGGACGCACAGACTATCGTAGGTGGGGCATACAAATAAAGAATAGAGAAAAGACCAACCACTATAAAGAATGCAGTATAATAAGATATTAAAATACAATATAATATTTGTTAAACAAAATTAAAACTGACTACAGAAATAAACGCTTTATATAAACATAAGATGATGTGGTATGATTGCTAATGAGACAACTCTCCACAAGAGAACAAATGACACAGAAATTAACAACTATAGGTCACCGTACGGCCTTCAACAATGAGCAAAGCCCATTCCTCATAGTCAGCTATAAAATGCCCCGGAAATGACAAACGTAAAACAACTCAAACGAGAAAACTAATGGCCTAACATGAACATATGATTAATACATTGTAGTAGGTCATAGTTCATATTGAAGATACGAACATGGTGTTCTGCGGTATGGGATTTGCTCATTGTGGAAGGCCGTATAATGACCTATAGTTGCTAACTTCTATGTCATTTGGTCAGTTTAAAGTACCACTTGCATACAAGACATTTGAAGCATAACTGTTATAAAAGAACAAAAATGAAATATTTTGACGTCAGAACGATTGTTATTCAAAGATTGATAAACATGTTTTGTGCATGATTTTTCATTTGAAAGGCTCCTTTCCAGACATTGTGTATTGGTAGTATTTTATCTTTTCTGTCTCCATATGAGTAATTAACAGACAAACTCTTTACAATTGTATAGTTTGTTATTTATTTTGTGTTTTTTTTTCCATTGTGTTAATGTTATTTATTATACTATCATTGTGTTAATGTTATTTATCTTTTATAACTAAATGTTTAACCTCTACTGTTTTTATTGTCTGTTTTTATGTACGTTTTTTATCTACTGATCGAGATTTAAAAAAAGGAGCTTTGATATTATCAAAAAATATTTTGACCCTACAACATTTGCAAATGCCTGTAACAAGCCAAGAACTAAGACAGAAGATGTCTAATTTCAAATTTTGATGTTATTATTTGAAGAATTTAGTTTTGATGATAGATAGTTGATACTTTCTGGTTTTGTGGCGTTTTATATAGTGTATGGACACATGTCTATTGTTAAAGGGAGGCAAAAGCTACCAGAGGGACATTCAAACTCATAAGTCGAAAATAAACTGACAACGCCATGACTAAAAAACAAAAAGACCAACAAACAATCAATAGTACACAAAAAACAATATAGAAAACTAAAGACTGAGCAACACGAACCCCACCAAAACTTTTAACATTCGGGGCGTTTTATATAGTGCATGGACACATGCTTATTGTTAAAGACTGTACGTTGTCCTTTAGATGTTTGTGTCGTTATTTGTGGCTTTGGGTTGTTGTAATATTAACATATACCTTACATCTGTTTTTTTCAGATATAATACAATAAAAAATATAAAGCATATGGTAACGATTAATGACACACAAATACTAACTGCACGTTAATAAAATCCAAGAGTTCATATCACGCTTGTATTGCCGTCCTTCATCTCAAAGTCATTGTGAGTTGATCAACACTCTCATGAAACATCATTTGGTACTATGGACAGGATAGATGAATCTCGTCGATTAATATACATTTGTGTAGTAGTGGACACAGTTTAAAAACTGCCCTAGTCTGTTTAGTTTTGAACCGTATGAAACAAATTTGAAGGTGAAGAAGATATGAGTTAACGACCGCAGGTACCTTTAATACACAAAATAAGTTTCTAACATGAGTACAAAATAACCAAAGAGTACCAAAGCAACTACGTTTTTCGGAAATAAACATGATTAATGATCGCTATCTTGATTCTAGCACTTGAGAACGGACATGCATTATAAATCTGTATTGACTATAAGTTGGATAACACAAACTCCAAATCAATCTGTACGGGTCAGAAGTTTAACAACACAAACTCCTTGCAATATGTATTGGTTCAAAGTTGGACAACACAAAGTCCAAATGAATAGTTATAGGTTAGCAGATAGACAACAAAAACTACAAAGCTATATGGATTGCTCGGGAATTGGACAACACAAACCCAAAAAACAATCTGCATCGTTTATATGCTCCGATGGGGCGATTACAATGTAAGATCTTGACATATTTTATAGAAACTTGTCTATAGTTGAATACAGTATCTTTGCCTCTGGGCGTCTTCCGTGTTTTATTTTGATCTTGAATAACATTTTATTTAACATTACTCCTGAGTTTTATTGTATTAATTTTTTAAATCGTTTATGTAATGCTATTTTTGGTTTACAAATTTCTGCTATGAAACAATTATATCCGTCAAGCAAAACATTGCGAATATCAAATTCTTTGTAATACAATTCCCAAAAGTAAATATGTTGTTTTTATCAATTGTTCTGCTACGGTTTCGGTTATACGCGGGCGAGAAGAAACTGAAGATAGTTCTCTGAAATATTGATGGTAATGTAGACTACATATCATGGAAAATGCCAAACAACAGATGCACTTTTGGAGATCAATTAAAACTGTGGATTTAAATTTCCCAAAAGGACAATTCAATTTTAAATAGAAATTTAAAATTCACGTGTATTTCTAAACAAAAGCAATTAAAACTTCAGTTTGTACAGAACTTTAATTTGGATTTTCCATTTTGAAAGAGTATAACATAATTATTTAATGTTAAACAAGATACGTTTTTTCCCCGCAAATCAAATTTACATTTGCAATAGGATGTTTATTAGTTCAATGACATAACATTGTAATCAATTGTTTTATTACGTTTGACCATTTTTCGGTAATCAAAACTTAACAATCTTTAAAAAAGAAATTATAAATACAGATGTTGGCCAATACATAAAGAAGTATATGATTGTATGGTAATTTTTCTCTGACATTTATTTTATACCAAAATATTTTCAAAAGTTCTTGACATCTTAACTTAAATTTACAATATCACATTTTTTATTTGAATAGCATAATTGGATTATATAAGCAAATTGTTGAACATTTGAATTTAATAAAAATGCTTTAATAAAAGTCAAATCTGCAATTTTTATAGACGTCGCATGATCGGCCATAGCATAAATTTTTGCCATGATAAATCAAAATTGCTTTTATTTACTAGCAATGAACAGCGCCGAATTTATGGATATTCAGAATATGTTGAAAGTCTGTATAGTACAGACTTATATCATTAATCAACAAAATAGTTTTATTACTGAAAAACTTTGATAACATAGAAAACAGATATCCAAATTTGATTTCAAGTTTTACTAGTCCGCAGGAAACATAAATAGATTTGGGTCTTTACAAATTTACAAAATGTACTACTATGATAGGGAAAACATTTTCCGGTTTTTTTTATTAATCGGGAGTTTTAGCGAAACATCGTAAAGGAGCAAAGTATTTGCCCAAAAAATGTATTATAAACCGTTAAAAAGGAGCATTCAATGGTTGTGCCTTTTTGATACTGGTTTGTTGACGTTTTGATACTGGTTTGTTAGCATTCTTAAACTGATTTCTTAGCGTTTAGATACCTATTTCTTAGCGTTTAGATACCTGTTTGTTGGCGTTTGATACCGGTTTGTTGACGTTTTGGTACTGGTTTGTTAGCGTTTTGATACTGGTCTGTTAGCGTTTAGATACCTGTTTGTTGGCCTTTAGAGACCTGTTTGTTGGGGTTTTGATACTGATTTGTTGACGTTTATATACTGGTTTGTTGCCTCTTTGATACTAGTTTATTGAAGTTCTGTTTTTTTGAACGTTTTAATACCGATTTGTTGACGTTTTGATACTGGTTTGTTGGCGTTTTGATTCTGGTGTGTTGAAGCTTTAATACTAGTTTGTTGACATCTTGATACTGGTCTGTAGACGTTTTGATAACTGGTTTGTTGACGTTTTGATACTGGTTTGTTGACGTTTTGATACTAGTTTATTGGCGTTTTGATACTGGTTTGTTGACGTTTTGATTCCGTTTGTTTGCATTTTGATACTTGTTTGTTGACGTTTTGGTACTAGTTTGTTGACGTTTCGATACTGGTTTGTTGACGTTTTAATTCTGATTTTTTTGGCGTTTTAATACTGGTTTGTTGACGTTTTGATACTAGTTTGTTAGCATTCTTAAACTGATTTCTTAGCGTTTAGATACCTGTTTGTTAGCGTTAAGATACCTGTTTGTTGGCGTTTGATACTGGTTTGTTGACGTTTTGGTACTGGTTTGATAGTGTTTTGATACCTGTTTGTTGACGTTTTGATACTGGTTTGTTGGCGTTTGATACTGGTTTGTTGGCGTTTTGATACTGATTTGTTGACGTTTATATACTGGTTTGTTGACGTTTTGATACTGGTTTGTTGGCGTTTTGATACCTGTTTGTTGACGTTTTGATACTGGTTTGTTGACGTTTTGATACTAGTTTATTGGTGTTTTGATACTGGTTTGTTGACGTTTTGATACTGGTTTGTTAGCATTCTTAAACTGATTTCTTAGCGTTTAGATACCTGTTTGTTAGCGTTAAGATACCTGTTTGTTGGCGTTTGATACTGGTTTGTTGACGTTTTGGTACTGGTTTGATAGCGTTTTGATACCTGTTTGCTGACGTTTTGATACTGGTTTGTTGGCGTTTTGATACTGGTTTGTTGGCGTTTTGATACCTGTTTGTTGACGTTTTGATACTGGTTTGTTGGAGTTTTGATACTAGTTTATTGGTGTATTGATACTGGTTTGTTGACGTTTTGGTACTAGTTTGTTGACGTTTCGATACTGGTTTGTTGACGTTTTATAACTGATTTTTTTGGCGTTTTGATACTGGTTTGTTGACGTTTTGATTCCGTTTGTTGGCGTTTTGATACTGGTTTGTTGGCGTTTTGATACTGGTTTGTTGGCTCTTTGATACTAGTTTTTGAAGTTCTGTTTCTGGGTTTTTGACGTTTTGATACCGATGTGTTGACGTTTTGATACTGGTTTATTGGCGTTTTGTTACTGGTTTGTTGACGTTTTGATACCGTTTGTTTGCGTTTTTATACTGGTTTGTTGGCGTTTTGATACTGATTTGTTGACGTTTTGATACTGGTTTGTTGGCTTTTTGATAATAGTTTCTCGAAGTTCTGTTTCTGTGTTTATGACGTTTTGATACCGATGTGTTGAAAAACTGAAAAGCGGTATAGTCAAAGCCGGGCAAGGAATCAGAGTTTTGCATGAAGAAAAAATATTTTTAGTTTAAAATAATTTCCAAATATTAGAAAATAGCAAGTTGTTATAACACAATGTCCGTATTTTCATGCCAGTATCGAAGCTCTGGCTACTGGGATGGTGATACCCCCGAGGACTAACAGTCCACCAGCAGAGCCATCGATCCAGAGGTTGTAATAACATTAAAGATTTAAATTTTCTGCACCAGCTCAACATTTCGTGTCAATCATAATTGACCTTTGGCAAACCGGAAGCAGTTTAACAAGTAACTTTTATTAGACAATAAAATCATCATTGATAGATTCCGTTTGTTTGCGTTCTGATACTGGTTTGTTGGAGTTTTGATACTGGTTTGTTGGCTCTTTGATACTAGTTTTTGAAGTTCTGTTTCTGGGTTTTTGACGTTTTGATACCGATGTGTTGACGTTTTGATACTGGTTTATTGGCGTTTTGATACTGGTTTGTTGACGTTTTGATACCGTTTGTTTGTGTTTTGATACTGGTTTGTTGTGCGTTTTAATACTGATTTGTTGACGTTTTGATAAGGGTTTGTTGGC